ATGCCTCATCGGACTTGAACATGAACGGAGTCGACGGCGTAGGGCTGGAGCATGGCTGACGGGACCGGGCGCACTTTGGTTGTTACTCGTTGTTGGTGTGCGTCTTTGAAATGTGGTGTTGTTAGTAATGCCAGTCCAAGTAGTGTGGAATCATGGGAATGCCGGGATTCCCAAGAAGGACACCAAGTCAGTGCAGTGTTCCGAAGGTGGAGGAGGTGGTCAATGTTGGAGACTTGGCCGTCCAGGGGCCGCAGTCCACTGAACTCGATAAACACGGCCATTGAACGGGGTCCGCTAGGCCCGATGGAGCCCCGCGTCCCGTTCCCCACCTGCCGACTGTCCGCCTCGGCTGCAGTGTCTTCCCCTGCTACAGTAACGACCGCTGAAACAGTTGCCGTTGGGATCCGAGATCCTATCAACAAGACTGCAAGTTCAACTTTGGCACTCATTTTATCCAATATCAATTTTGCATCTCGTATTGTGAACACGAATATCTAACCCACGGCATGTTGATCAGACAAATCAGTTCCACCCGCCCAAGCAGATCGATGCCAGTGCGTCCGAAAAGGGGCTCTGCTCAAAAAAGGGGTAAAAGGACAAAGACTCCATCCAAAGTAAACAAATCCCCTTTTATCTCGTTCCTGAAACGAAGACGCGAATCATTGATCTACCTTGTATCTTCTCTATCACGCATCAAAACACCACCTAATAGGTCACCTCCACACAACAGTCGTCCCTCCTCTCCCCCCTCCCCTCCCCCCATTCCTCCTCCTCCTCGCACCACCTCTTCCTCCCCTCGGCCTCACCCTCTTATACTTAACCCTCTCACTCCCATCCGGCAGCACCACCACCTCGTGCTGAATCGAAAACCCAAACGCCGGCAACACCTTGGCCCAAACCACCCAATACACCACGCCAATGACCAACATGCCCGTCCCCAGCGCCGGCACCACAGAAAAGTGAACCTTGGTGAGCAGCTTATTCGGAATGAACGGCGCCGCACAGGTATACAGCAGCCCGACCACCCAAAACACGGTCAAGACGGGATAACTATGGAACCTCTTATTCTCCGGCGTCGCCCAGTTCTCGCTCGGTGTAAAGTTGAGATACAACAACCCTACCCCAAGGAAGACCTTGATCCAGTTGCCCGAGTAGGTAAAGATGTTTGACAAAAACTGGTACACATCCTTGGTGCTGGACCCGAGAATCAGCGCCACGGTGAAGATCCAGTGCAGCAGGATGGCGCCCGTGGGCGACTTTTGCTCGGGCCAGTCGCTCGCCCAGAAGCGCGAGAAGGGAAGCGTCCCTTCCTTTGCGAGCTCCTGCTTCACGCGGGGCATGGCGAAGGATTGCGCAAAGACGTTGCCGAGCGCCGAGAGGGCGAGGAAGAGAGGCATGACGCGGTCGGTGAAGGCCGAGGGGCCCCAGACGCGGGTGAAGAAGATGGCGGTGGGGACGACGCCGGATTTGGAGAGTTCGTCTTTGGTCATGGCGGCGAACTGTCGTCGTTGAGAGGTCAGAGATGGAAGGCCTGGGAAGGGATGAAGAATGGGTTTTATACTCACATAAGCAATGTTCGCAAGGACATAGAGTACGGTGACCGTCGCGATGGCAATCGGCGCCGCCAGTCTCAACGTCCTCGGCGCATCCCTCACTTCGCTCAACACCTACACAAACAATCCTCTCATTAGCACTTCTCCTCCCTCCTCTCATAACAATCCGTCAATAGAGTTGTTGTACTCACATAATTGGCATTCTCCCACCCCCCATAACTATACAACACCTGCAACAGCGCCAACGCATACCCCGCCGCACTCCCCGCCACATCCTTTCCCATCCCATCCGTCTGATCGTCTCCATAATTCCCAGTGGCATCCCCCGGCCCATCAAAACTCCCAAAATTCCCCGGGCTCTCCCCCTCCATCCTCCCCGCCAACGCCGCAAACCCCGTGCAAACCACCAAACTCAACAGCACCAACTTGAACACCCCCAAACCGTTGGACAGCCAGATGCCCAATCGCGGAAGAAACGCGTGGATGAGACAGACGACAGTAATAGCTGCTACGGCGATGCCCCGGTTGAGCCAGGTGCCGTCGTATTTGGTTGCTTCTTCTTGGGCTTGGCCGGAAGTGCTGCTGCTGCTGCTGCTGCTGCTGCCGAGCACGCAGCGGAGGAGGTAGGAGGAAAAGGAAACGGAGCCGGCGGTGGAGATGGCAAAGAGGATGAATTGCACGGCGAAGATGCAGGTTGCTAGGTACTTGGGTTTGCGGTAGACGCGTTCGAGATAAACTTTCTCTCCACCGGAACGAGGGATGGCGGTGCCGAATTCTAGGTAGACGGCTAGGCCGCTTTGTGGTTGGTTGAATGGGAGTTAGCTGGCTTGCTTTCTTGCTTTCAAGTGGAAGTTGGGTAGGGCAAGTGACTGAAGGGTGGACCGCAACTCACCAAAAGGTCATTACACCACCCAACACCCAGAAGAGGAGCGTGGCACCGACGCTATTGGTGTTGTGGATGATGGATGATGGCGTTGAGAAGATGCCGGCGCCGATGACGCGGTTGATGATGAGGAATGCTGTGGACCATGTTCCTAGCTTTCGCTCTGTGATGGGGGTGTTAGCGAGAGGTGAAGAGAGAGGTGAAGAGAGGTTGAGAAGAAGCTGAACAGAGGCTGGGAAGAAGTTGAGGAAAGACTGAAGAAAGACTGAACAAAGACCGAACAGAGGCAGAAGAGACCGGCAAAACCTCGATAGAGATGAACTAACCTTCAGGAAACACATAATCCCTAAAATCATCCTCCTCCTCTCCCTCCTCTCCAACCCGCGACGGGCCCCTCCCATTCGCTCCATATTCCGGCATATAAATGGCATCCTCGCCCACCTCTGGATCCTTCGAGTGGATGGGTTGTTCGAATATCGTTGGTTCGTTCATCTTGTCTCGACTGACTTTGCAGACAGTCCCTCCTCCGTCTTGTCTTGGTTTCGGTTAATGCTGGGACTCTGGGAGATTCCACTGGATGTCCAAGTTGGTGACCGAAAAATCGAGGGGAGTGAGCAATGCGGCTGAACACAACGAACGAACCCAAGGCGCACCGCAACCGTAGCGCGAGGGGCCAGGCGTGCGTGTATGCAGTCTAGTCTCCAGTCCAGTTCAGATGACGGGAGTTATTGGTGTTTGATGTTCTTTCGATAGTCGATCAACCAGTAACTTGTGAAGAATAAATTCCAGAAGAGTTTTTCAAAGGATCTTCTTCACAGAGACCGAAGGTCGAAAGAAGGATATGCGGCTCAGGTCATCCAGGTCTCAGCCCGCGGGCCTCCTCGAAGTGGTTGAGCGAACCCTCAAGGAAAGGACGATAACTGGATGATGACCGCAGGTGAGGCGTAACTTGACAAGTTCAGGTGAACGTCCGTTAAAGAGGTTAGGTCTCACCCGTTCGTTGTGTATCCCACGGTCAACGAATCGAGTAATTGGAGGTCTAGATCTTGGTGGATTGGTTAATCAAGGTGCCCCCTCAAGTAAGAGGAGGAGGGCAACACAACCAGTTGCCACATAGAACACACAAGGGTAGAGTAAATGGGGAGATCTCACTCGAGGACGGAGGATGGGTAAGCGAACTCTTCTCACCTTTATCGATTCACAAAAAGTTACACCCACTGAGACCACTGGATAACTGCAGCTCAGAGCCTCACTGACATTACCTACTCCGTCATCACACAGAACACAGCAGCTTGTTCATTGGCGATTATTGGCGATTGATTAGCGAGAGAGGCAGACACGCAGACACAACGTGAGGTGAGATCAGATCCGGCTCGGCTGTGTCCAGTTTCTAGGGGCCCGTCTGTAGAGGTAATCTACAAGAAAGAAGCACAGAAGGTGAAAAGGAAGAAGTCCTGGCCTTCTTGTCTCGTGGCTGGAGGTAGGAACGTTTCTTACCAACGAACCACCTGTGAAGAAGATAGCCCAGGCGGGAAAGCTGGCTGTGAATTAACGGCGATAATTGGAGGTCTCAATCGCCCTGTCGCCCTGCCACCGTCGCTATCACAGCGCCAAGTCCTCTATCCCCAAAGAGACAAAAGAGGCGTGCAGGACGATTTCCTCTGCAGTTTGTAGAGTGTGGGAGCTGGGAGGGAGGGGACCCTGCTCGGTTCATCAGTCCTGTGATAGGTAGCCTAGTCTCGTGGTGGTATGTAGCCAAGACTGTTACAACAATCTGGGGTTTCTCAGCGGAAACACTGCGCTTTCTCGTCCGCTGTTTTCCGTTGTTCCGTTCGTTGTGATCGACAGCGAGTTAGCGACAGCGACACCATCAGGCAGTAGGGAACACCACAGCTCCGAGTTTGTACTTCATAACTCGAGAGATCAGAAGCTTCGCCAACTCCCCCAAAGCTTCGCCCCAGAAAGCCCCCCAGAAAACCCCCCATCTTTCCCACAGGGCCACAGTGAGTGATACACCACCTTGCCTCTTTAAGCCTAGTGACGAGATGAGGAATGCATGGCATGGGGTAGCTTATTTTCCGCTGCTCCTGCACGATTCCAATAATCACTCTCCCTAGCGTCCTAATCGGGTAACCATCGCTAAAACATGTTCCGAGGTTCTTATTCGTCCAGCCGTTCTGGTTACGTAGCGGGCTTTTTTCCTGTGAATACCTAGGTATCGACCTAGGCATCAGTTATATCGGCTGTGATACATACCTAGGTAGTGTGTACAGAACTCTGTTCCCATGGTTATCATAGCTGTAAGTAAACATACAAACTAATATCATCCAGTCCTGGTATCTCGTAACACATACATAGAATGACAAAAAAGACCATATAGCCCGATCCCGATCCGACACCTGACTCCCCGCTCACCGAATTCCATAATTCCCCAAGTGAGTGTGATAAGGTCACCAAAGAAATCTACAAGAATATTATATCCCAGCATGCCCTGTCGACACTGTCCTTCCAACATACTCCAGTACCAAGAGTCCAGAGTTGATGTGCCAGTGGTAAGATAGGTATCACATCCGAATCTCCATAGCCGTCTTCCCATACAACCCTCCCACCGCTTTCAACTCCTCCTGAATGACCTTCAATTTCTCTCTCTGCTGTCTGCGTTCGGCAATGACTTCTCCCCATCTCCTGATGAAGCTGTCTTGGCCTTGAAGCACCCCTTTAATTAGCATTTAGCGAGGAAAGCTCTGAAGAAGGGAAACTTACTAGGCGGATTCTCAAACTCAATCTCAAACATCTTGTAAAGATCATAACCGTACTCGGCATCTGGGTTGGGTGGTTGGCCGTCGATATTGAACCCGGCCATTTCTGAGCCGTCTCTTTGCTCGATGTGTGCTGTACACAACCCATTCGTTAGCCATAATCTGATAAACAGCTGTAAACGCAAGAGACAAACAACAAAACACACAAAGAACAAACCTTTAATCCCCTTCCACCTACTCCCCTCCCTACTAAAAACCCCCGCCCTCCTCGGCCTCAACCTAACCTTCGTCTGCCCCTCCGCCTTCACCTCAATATCATCCGTAATAAAAGTCTGCACATACTCCCCCAACCTTCCCAAGTAAACAATCAACTTGCTCGAACTAGCAACCTGTCTATCGCGGAGCGGTCCCGACAGCGCCGTACCAGCCGTCACAAAACTCGCCTTATCAGATTGCATCCCCCTTCTTCTGCTTGTGGAATCTAGATCCTCATGCCAGATCTGCAGCCGCACGCTCGAGTAAGTGTCGCTTGCGCCGTTGTTCGCTTTACTTAGGCGGATGAGCTTGACGTTGCTGATGTCCAGCAGCACCTTTTCGCCGGTGAGTTGGGCTTGGAAGTGGCAGAGGTCTGCGAGGCGGGGGAATTGGTAGATGCCGTTTGGGTGTCCGTTGCCTGATCCTGGTATGGGAGAGGAGTTCATGTAGCCCGGGTTGGACTTTTCGGTTTCTTTGTCGTGCAGGCAGATGACGTTGAGGAAGCGGGGGTCGTAGGCGTAGACGGGGATGAGTTGGGCGTTTCGGGCTTTGACTGTTATGGGGGTTAGTTAATCGGTTTTTTTTTTTTTTTTTGGAGGGATGAGAAGGTGAAAACTCGCTCCAAAAAGTCTCAGAATATGTGCCAACTCTGCAATGGAACCTCAAATCTTTCGTAGTCGTATTGCGGAAAATCTTGAGCTCTCCATCTTCAAACGCCGAGGACGCAAGTGTTGGCGCGCTCTTAACTGGCCTTTCACATGTCTCCGTTAGCAGGCAGCAGTTTCTCGAGACTGGACATAAACTCACCCATCAAACAAAATATCCTCCCCCGGCAATACGTGATCTCGGCCCGTACTCCTGCTATCACTCGAAAACGAAGAAGCATGTCGTTCCGGAACCACAACAACTGCGGTTCTGGTATCAAGCCGGTTAGTCGAAGTTCCTATACTGACCACATTGTTCTGCGCAGCTCCAACAAACACTCCGCTCCCACTACCGCCCCTTCCACGACCAGGATATAAGGAGCACGGCTCGTGGACAACCGAGTGAGGAGAGCTTGAGTAAACATATGCGCCGTCAGAACTGACAAACTCTTTCTCGTAATCAGGCGACAAGATGGGCGACGTAGGCGAGTACGGAATCGAAGAGTGCCTAGTCGGAGACGTTGGATATTGAGGATATGATGATTCCATCAAAGACTCGAGGACTGGTCCCGTAGGCGGTGCTTGTCGACGAGGCCCTTGTGAAGAAGCAAAGTTCGCGCCTGTCACAAACCCGCCGTAGTTGATACCGTCGACTTGATGACCTCCATTGTAAGTGGCTTGAGCTGCCGGTGTGCTCAAGCCGGCCGTTAGATTTGATGTACGCATATATTGTGTGGACTGATTGTAGCCGTGGTGAAATGATTCCAGGCGATGTTGGTTAGAAGGGGTTCGGGGAGAGACAGGTCTGTTGTCGACAGGACTCTCGGGGGTCCATGGATCCGTGTCACGTTCCGTGAGAACCTCGGCAAGTCCTACGCCCCCATCAGACTCTCCAAAGTATGGTGCCGCACCGTTGAAGTGGTTGATGTTGAGGTGGGACATCATGTTGGTGACGTCCTGAGGAATAGTAGCGGAATGAGGTCCGGCTATGTCCAAGGCGGCAGGGGATACGTTAGTGGTATAACGCCCACTATGCGCTGTCCGGAAACTTGAAGCCTGTGATCGCGAACTTGCGTTCGACATCTGTCGTCCCCTGAGAGAGGCATTGTTGCGGTCGTGTAACTCGTGCGGCGACTGTGCTGGGTTTGTATCTGGCTGTATGCTACTCGGAGCAGTCGAGTTGGCCGGAGAAGCGACTGGCGTATCCGACTCAGGTATGCTCTGGAAGAGGTAGCGACGACCATCTGAGGCGATAAAGATGCCCCTGTTGGCAAACTGAACTGTTGAATCGACCGTAGCTAGATCGAAGTTGTCGAACAAGGACGAGAAGGGGACAGAAGCCTCATCGGGAAGAGGCGGAAGGCTGGCAGGTAGTGAACGGCCTTGGGCGGACATCCTGAACCTGAACAGGTGCCGCTCGGGTCAATCTCTCGAGGCACATGTTAGGTACACGATGTGTCCGATGTGTCCTGAGAAGAAGTCGCCCGCCGGGTTAGTGGTAACAGTGACGGATGTAAAGGTAAGGTTTGATGGGTAGGACAGAGATAAGAAGGAAACTAAGCTGCCTGAACCGGGGCGTATGGAACGCGGGGTGAGCGATTGAGGTTAGTGTAGTGGTTAGTGTAGATCGTCTTGACCTATAGGACCTATTGGACTGCCTCGTTAGTGACCCCGGTGCTGTGTGACATTCAGATGCAATCAATCCACCAGGACGTCGCCCCGTCGTCGTATGACCGTGTTCCTGCCTGTTGTTTTGAAGCTTGTTCCTTTCTCGACCTCTTGTGACTTATTTCTTGACTACTGACTACCTACCAGCCCGCCATCGTTGATGTCGAAAAGACATACAGGGCTGCCTGGCAATACGGCCCGTCTGACTAGAGTGAGGGAGGTACAGGATTCTGGGTATACTTACCTTAGTGATGCACATGTTTGTTGGAGGATTCGTAATGAAGGTGGTAGACGGAAAATAAGATTGTTCTAGGCTCCCGTCGGCTCGAGAGACATTCCTGGCATGGCTACGTAATTCGAGTTACCTTATCTACGACATGGTTCATATTCTTTGTGTTTTCCACTTCATGTCGAAGGTCTTGTCACTCTCTATCGTGAGAAATCGTCTGTCCATGTCAAAATATTCTTCAAGCTTGAAGGAAAACAATACCTGCTCTTGCGCGCTCAATACAGTCAAGGCACTCGACCTTTGCAACTTCTGTTGGCTTCTTCGATAGGAGCTGCGCCGCGTGACTGTGACTTCGAGCTGTAAGTCAGCTGAAAAGGCTGTCGTGTCACAGTGGCTTGTGACGTACCGGGAGGCAAAAGATCATTTCTATGGGAACGTCCTTAGTTCGCGGAATAAAGATGCTTCGGCGGAGATATGGCTTTCACCAAGGCTTGTAAAATAAACTTTGATTTTCAACAACTCCCCCGAGATAAAATAAGAGAAATATCAACGCATGTCGGTCGTAAAGCAGAGTATCCTTCCCTGCCTAACACCAGCAACACCATGCTGGCTACCCAACCCAAACAAACCAGTCCAGTTCACCCAAACACCGAGCCTTCGGCTGACCGACCAAACCGAACACCATGCCATGCCAGTCTGATAACGGGACCTCTGCCCATAGTTTACGACTTGTTCTTTACAGGAGTTGACATATCCCAACCACTTGTTTCCATGTTGAGAACGCCGGACAATGTATGCTCATTTGTGACCCAGTATGCCGAAACGCCACCGTTCCATTCGTTTAATCGTGTTTCGGCCTAACCTCAAGCGTTATAACTTCGCTCTTCTTTGACCGCTGGCTTTCTAAGCGGTAGACTTCTTCCTCCCCCTCCCTCCTCCTCGTCCGGCTCCTCCTCTGCCCTTCTTTTCTGGCTGGGCTTCTTCCTCGCTCTCGCTCTCTGCCTTTGCTCGGCCTCTGCCACCACTCGCAAAGGCTGCTGGCTTCTCCTTGTCATCGTTCTCTATCTTGCTGGTGATTTCTCGTAGGAAATCCCACTGGTCGTCTGACTCCACGACCTGTTTGAGCATCTGTGCCGATACGCGTTTCGAGTTACGCTCACGCGCTATGTCTGCGCTTTTTGTCACCAGTTGTACCATGAACAGCTCGAGTGCCTTGCCCACTGCGATCGGCGTCTGTTGCGCGACCTTGCCAACCTCTTCGTCCGCCTGCATGATGCGCTTGATGCGCGCCGTTGGGAACTTGGTCTTTACGGGCGAGGGCTGGATCGGAGAAGGTTGGGGTTGCTGCGCAGCTTGCGCGACGGCTCGCTTGGGTGGCATCGTATTGGTGGTCTGCGCCGCTACGGATGGCGCAGCTTGGATATTGGTCTGTTCGGGGGCCGGTGGCGGACTGGGATTAGAAGTATGCGAGGGAAGAGGCTGGAGGGGCCGTTGTGCCTGCGATCGCGTCAAGCGCTGCTGCTGATGGTCTTGCGGTTGCGTATGTGAGAACAGCTGCGGATAAGCCTGTTGTTGTAGTTGCTGCCGCGGTTGCTGTTGGTTGTAACTATACTGGTGTTGATTCTGCAATTGATGCAGGTCGCGTTGCGAACCTTGCTGTTGCGCGTTCCAAATCCCTGTCGCGTGGTTGTTTGTGAAGGGGATGCGAGACGGGCGCTCGGATTGCTGCGGCTGCGAATAGTGGTTCGTCGAGAAGCTGAGATCGGGCTGAGAGCGTGGTGGGAGATACTGCGACGAGTTCTGCCAATATTGCGAAGCGCGATGGTCTTGATACGTGTTCGCAGAAGGGCCAGAGGGCTGTGTCGTGGTGGTGGTGGTAGTTGTGGTGGTGGTGGTGGTGGGCAGAGGTTGAAGTTGTGGTTGCGACTGCGCTTGTAAGTGGTGGTGTTGGTGTTGCGGAGAAAAAAGTGTTTGCTGTGATAACGGTTTGGGGTCTGGTACTTGAAGGACTTCGGAATGGGTCTGCCAGTGCTGGTGAGTGGGGCCGGCGGAGCTATATAAGGATGAGAGGTCCGGAGACCTGGGTGCGTAGCTCGAGGCGCCAATGCCCGACATGATTTGGGTGATTGTGATTGTGTGGTTGCGCTTGAATAAAAAGCTTGAAAGGCTGGCTGGGCAGCTTCAGTTCTGTGAAGGAAAGTAGCTTGAATGGGAAATGAATCAGACTGCTTTCGTCCCGCCGTCCCTCGCCGCGACTTATATGGGCGCTTTGGTTGGTTCGCACCTCCCCTTCCGTCTTGCTTTTGTTTACGTACCCCGAGCGCCTTCCTCCCTTTGTTGCAAGTACCTTGTAAGTACTGGTGGGGCAGGGGAACCTCTTGGGTGTGGATGCCTTCACTCGATCCGAAGACGGAGCACACCAGTCAATAACAGCTGGTTGATGATTCTGATGATGGATCTATAAGGCAGTAACCAACAGTTAACCTCATGTCGTTGTTTGTGTACTCATGACTCTTGTGGCGGTTGGATGGATGAAGACAATGGCGAAACCTCCATTTGAGGTTTGGATGGAAAGAACCTGAAGGGGCAGTGTTTGGCTGACTGAGATGATGCGGGGTTATATGCAGTTTGGGAAGGCACCTTGCAAGCTGTCTGTCATTCAGCTGTGATTTTGCAGGCACCACTCTCCAGTATTTCCAGATGAATGTGATTGTGTTGCATTTTGTGAATAAGACTCCGAATGAAAAAAAGGCTGAGGGTAATGAACGGATGAAGACGTGTTCGTGGCCTCACAGCAGGCATATACCAGACGAACTAGAAAAGTGAATCGTGGTATAACCTCGTACAAGAACAATAGACGGGCATGCCAGGAGAGACTGGCAACTTGGCTTCTTCTGGCAAAGGGTGGCAAGGCTGGGTAGGTAGATAGTCTTTGCTGTCGGTTGTGTTGCCCTACTGTCTGGAGGTCGCAACATGATCCATTGCGGTCCAGCCCTGCCCGGTCGTTGAAGTGGAGAGCATCCAAGAGCTCTCGGCCTTTCAATCAGGTACCAGTCCGGTACATGGAACCACAGCCGGTACCTCTTGGTAGACTTGGGAACGGATGGGGGCAAAAGGGGAATGAGCGGGGTAGAAGTTGACTCGTACTTGAGTGTGTGGTGTAGGTAGGTGATGACGACAATAACACTGGTAAAGACCGGAAGGTGAAAGAGAGAATGGGGATGCTGACCGTATGGAACGAGAATCGAAGAGAGTTGTCGGATGAGCAACACAGAACGGTTATTCAAGGCTCGAAGAGTGTCAGCCTCAGGGTTGTAAGGTGAAGGGTTCGAGGTGCTGTCAGCTGAAAGCAACTTGACCATGACTGACGCTCTCTACGGCGGAGAGACCAGCCCGTTTATATGCACGCCAGGGCCCACTCCTTCCTTCGCATGATTGATTACAGGGGGCTCCGAGTGCCAACTCTATCCGTTGCCTGATTGGCTCACATAAAATGTTCTGTGGGTCGCACCGCCTCAAGCGCCTTTCAAACTTCTGAAGCACAAACACGCAGTGCGGCGGCGCCGATCTTTGATTTCCAAGTTCGCAAAAGTCTCGGTCACTCTTTCGACAATCATCCGTGCGTTTCAGGCACAGGTTGCATCACTCTTTTCATTTCGTCCATCGCCGCCCTCGACCTTGACAACGTCGAAGCCATCAACCTCAACCTCTTCTACCTATACAGCTACAAGATCCGGTCGGTCATGGATTATGACGGAGGCTGGCCCCGGTCACATCTCATTTCATCACTGGGATGCGATGAGTTGATTATGGACGCTGCCTTCCGCTACGACGAACGGATCTGTAACCTCGCTTCGGCATCAGCCGATTCACAACGGGCATCATGACCAACTTCGCTCTGTTTACGGAGCTGCTAGACTATGCAAAATGTAAGATCTCAGCAGCAGCGCAATCTCGGCATGTCTGCACCGGCGCACACATGGATTGAACATATACCTCACATTTGCATGATGATACTCAAGAGCACCTTGATTTTCCAGAGACTAAGAACACGGCGTTGAAGAAACCGAGTCCGACCAGGACTGAGGGGTCATCTTCGCCGCATGTCTATGACGGCACACAAAAACTTGATCTAATCTGACAAAATGAACATCTATTACTCCTTCACCTTGTTTTCGCCGCATCCGAAACAGAGAGTCGTTTGCTAATCTCTGTCGTTAGGTCATTCACCCCCTTCAACCTCTTTTCGCGGGCAGTCGAGAGGAACAGCGATGCCACCGGCCACGCGTGGATGCCGCCTGGCTCAACTTCGCTTCCAACCCACAAGCCTGCTTTGTTGAGCCTCGCGATCAGATCGTGAATCTCAGGTGAGAATACCTCCTCCTCCCCGTATGTAATGAAGATGCCATTCGACGGGCTTGCCCGCCTCCACCACGCCGCGTCATGGCAGCATCCTGGCGATACCAGCGGATCACTCCACGAGATTTTGTTGCCGGAGAACTGCTTTCCGTACGTACTCAGCTGCTCGGCGTCTAGATAATCGCTTGTCGTGTTGGTGTGTCGTGGGGACACAAGAGTCGTCCATGGTGAGATCAAGACGGCCAGACCTGGCATTGGCAGGCCAACTCCATATCTCTTTGCTCTGGCGTCCTTGCAGCTGAGATGCAGCAAGAGGCTCAAAATCAGTGTTGCGCCCGCTGAGTCACCACTGACGCATACGATGGCTGGATCGCGTGCTACCTTTAGAACGTATCTGTATCCTTCGATCGCCTCTCGGATTTGAGTAGGGTATGAAGCATCAGGAACGAGTGTATAGTCTAGCGCGAAGATGGAGGGGTTCTTGAACCCGGACGAAGACAACACCGATACCCAGCTCAGAAGAAACTCGAGGTAGAAGTAGGCCGAGCCCATCGAGAAACCGCCGCCTATCCAGAAATCAGTCAAAAGTAGGTTATCATAGACCGGGAAAGATTGTTCGGCTTACCATGAGCATAATACAAAACAAAATCCGGCGTTGCCAGCGGATCTTTCATGACCCATATGCCTCTGAATTCCGCCTATCCCCCCTCGTCAGCCCAATCCACGACCTTAAACAGCATCGCACTTACGGTGACATGTTCCCTCCAATGCACAGGACTCCTCAAATACCCATGCCTTAACATCCGGAACCTCAAAAACGGCAGCGCCACTTCCTTGGAGAAAAACACCCGTCCAATATTCGGCGGAATATTCGCAAAGGCGTACCGCACACATCTGATGACAAAGTCCTCAAACGGCGAAGCGTTCCGAACAAACGGTGGCTTGTCATAAGAGAGGAGCCATCTTTCATAGATGAACTGGATGGGGAGTTTGAACACTATTTAATGTAGTCACATCCGTTGTTAACAACTTAACACACATCAGTGCTTGTTATACATGTAAGAAAGGTAGGTGAGGAAAGACGTACAAACAAACGGCAGCGCTTCCAACACGCACTTGATGGTCGGTACCAAACCAACATTCCAAATAAGCTGCGGCGCAAGCAAGATGCAAAAGACGATACAGTCGAGGTACGATACTGGTCCGAGGATCATGCCGCCGTCGTTGTCGTAGCGGGTCCGGTGCCGGTGCCCGAGCATGCCGTGGACGAAAAGACGCCCGATTAGGTTGCGGATTTCTCCAAAAGAAGCGGTGCGCTACAACGAAGTGATCAGTCAGCTTTATCTTAAGCGATCTATCCCTTACTTGAAAAAGTTCGACTGGTCAACTGGACGGACTCACCAACATTATCACATTGTTGGCTTGAAAAAATCGAAATGTTTAATGTTGGAGGGGAGAATGTTGAGTTGGTGGTGGCGGCGAAGGTGGAAATGAGGTGACGTTCGTCGAAGGTGATCAGCACGAGTCTCGCTCTTTCCCAAGTGCTGCTTGGCGAGGCCAACCGTTCGTTCGTTTCAGCTAGATGATTTCTGATAGCAAACTGCACCTTTCCACGTTACTACAATGTGGCTTGCACTAACAGTTTGTATCAGATACCTTGGTGACCACAGTCCAGGTCGCTCATTCCAGTAATCAAACAGAACTCACTCTGTTCCCGGAAGGAGGAAACCATCTCCGACCTCTTTACAATAATGCCCTTAGTCGACGTATTCTTTCCTCATTGGCATCGACTATCTTCGGACGGCGGCAGGCAGTGAGTGACTTGTGAGGATTTGTACACTAGCGCTGGTTCAGGGGCAATGTAAACAAACGACCAGACCATCGTTCACTTTAATTGAGATATCACGACTTTTTGTCACCACCACGACTGTGAGAATATCTTGTTCTAAACCAAATCTTTTGCTACCGTTCTAAGAAGCATTTTATTATACTACCACCGCTCATCTAAACCGTCAACATACCCCTCTTCTTCCCTTTCCCCCCCTCCAGTTCCTTATTTATTCCTCGCCACCTCCAACACCCTCCCCTCCATCTCCCCAAAAGCCCCCAACACATTCCCATACCCCTCAAACACGCCCCTCTTATATCCCTCATCCACCTTCCTAATCGCTCCTTCCTCCTTCCACCTCTTCCCAATCAGCTCATCAAACGTCTCCGTTTCATCCTTCCTCTCAAACGCCCAAACGGCCTTGTACGCACCCCCCAACGCACAGGCATTGCCGCCTACATCAAGCTTGTACACCCCGTCTACACCGCCGAGCACGTCGCCCATTATCCGCGCGATGGCCGGGTTGAGAGAGCCGCCGCCTACGAGGTAGATGCGGCGGGGTTGGGCTGGTAGGGAAGGGGGGAGGGGGGAGGAAGAAGAAGAAGAAGTGCCAGAGGGGGAGGTGGAAACGAGGTTCTGCGAACGCAACCGCATAGACAAAGCCTGCGACTCGACGATGATGCGCGCATCCTTTTCCACGGGCCACGGCTGGTTCACTTGCTGGAGATCGGAGCCGTCGGCGGCGGAGCACTCGTACCGCCAGGTGCCGGCGGAGATGTTTGGGACGATTTCGGGGAGGTAGAAGTAAAGGCCTAGCTTGGCTTTGTCGGTTTCTGGGGAGGAGACGTCCAGCGGGGGAGTGGAGAGGGCGTGTTGGTTGAAGGTTTCCCAGGGGTCTGCTGCTGAGGAGTTATCCTTGGGGGCAGCAGGGAGGCTGTCCCGGACCTTCTCGCGCGCTAGACCGCCGTTCTTGTAGCAGAGCATGAACATGTACTGGCCTGGGGTAGTCGGGTGGTTGAAGAAGTGGTAGCTAGGGTCGGGCTTGTAGACGGGCGTGATCATCAGGAAGGTGGTTGAGGTGCCGAGGGAGACGATGGCGTCGAGCGGGCGCAGCGGGAGAGCCAGAATGGTGGCAGGGTTGTCGCCCGTGAAGGGCGCGATCTCGCAGTCGGGGGAGAAGCCGTACTTGCCGACGAAGTAAGGGCTGATCTTGCCCATGCTGCCGCCGCCGTCGAGACGGACTTCGCCTAGCTTGGACTTGAGGTCGGCGGCACCTTCGGCGGAACCGCCGGCGGCCAGGGTGAGGAGGGTCTCGGACCAGGTTTTGCTGGGGATGTCCCAGAGGTTCATGCCGCAGACGTCGGAGATGTCCATGGGCGTGACGGAGCCGATGAAGAGAGAGGCGAGGAAGGAGGAGACGAGGGAGATGCGCGAGGTGGAAGCGTACATGTCGGGGCGCTTGCGGCGGAGGCGCATTATTTGGGTGCCGGTGAAGCGCTGTTTGGTATTCTTGTCAGTCTTTCTGCTCTCTCGACTTGTCCACTCTTACTTGAAAATGTCAACAAAAGGGCCAAGTAAACAACTCACATGATGCGCCGCACTTCCCGTAGCCTGAGCCAACCTCTCCGCCGTCCCAAGTGCCCCATCAAACTTATCACATTCAGCCTGCGTGCTGTGGTCCTGCCAGTTGGGCGCATAAGGATGGGAGAATGCTCCCTTCAGCTGATCGACCAGCTTCCCCCTCTGCTCATCGGCTTGCAGTTCCGCGAGAAGCTTCTCGGCCTCCCGGCTCCAGTATACACTGCCATGCTGTTGGCAAGAACCGCTGATGCCGCGGATGCGGTTGAGAGGGGTGTTGGCTTCCTGGAGGCGCTGGAGGACGAGGTCGAGGGCCTCAAGCCACATGGCGACGGGCGCAAAGACCTCGCCTTCGGCTTCGTTTACTTGGACACCCTTCTTGATGCCATATTTGGCGCCGAAGTCGCCGTCGAAGTCGACCTTGGCGGAGGAGACAACGGAGAGATCAGATTGGATTACGATTGCTGTGTGAGAAGAAGGATTGTTAGTTGAGCTCGGTGTAAGTGAACGAAATAGCCATGCCTCGTGTGCGGAAACCAACCTTTTAGCTGCTGGGTTGACAAGTCAAACCCGAGGTAGAGAGGTCCCTCAGACATTATGTGTTTCTGTATGTGATTATAGGTTGTTGATGAATTCAATCTTTAACAGTCGGCTTGAACTCGATGAGAGAGAACGGTGATACTGCGTAAGAGCTCCTTGGGGTATCACTCGCTGGCTTCAAAAGACTCAATGAAACACAGAAGAAACACAGAAAAGGTCCGCGAAGGGCAGATGAAGGGTTATGAAGAGAGTAAGGAAGCCAATGGATGAGAAAAGATGTCCGGACAGGGCCGTAGATAAGTTCAGCAATCGACTGTCACTTCATCCGGAGGAACCTTGAAGGTCCATTCTAGCGGGGTGACGTTGGGAATTAGCATCCCGGCATGAACATCATGGCGGGTAGGGCGGGGCATCAGCGGTCCAGACGCCAGCGTATCCCAGCTGTGTCAGGGGAATGGTGGAGGGGCAGCAAGCCGCGTGATGCGCTGCGAGCCGTAGCGGACTGGGGCTCTCTTCTATTTAGCCTGAATGCTGAGGATCGGCATTTGACCAATCACATGTAGTTGATGATTCAGGGGTGAGCTGGAGCTGTATCTCGGCCCTCGTTGTACCGATCTTCACCAGACAACATCGTCTTGGTGTTTTTCATTATGAAGTTGAAGTACCTACAGAGCTTCATGGCCAACGTTCCATGAAGATTTCAGTGCCCATAATCTCTTGGCTTTACATAGTGAAAGAGCTACTCTCTGAACCGAAAATCCATGGACTGAAAGCTCAATCTCTCTACAGCTCACAGCACAAATCCCCCATGGGAGGTTGCCGATATTCAAGCGGGAAGTGAACGATGTGAATTATCTCTTAGGGTGAATGCAAAATGTCTTGCTCGTCGTCCGGGTACGATCTACGATCCCACTACGATTACAATGAAAGTAACGCTAGCGTTTAACCATTATTAACGAAAGAATCGCTTGCTTGCTTGTCTCCTTGCGGTTTCCACGTCAACCAACTAATGCTGAACCGAGTCAGAGGAATCGACCAGGAGTGTATAAACAACCATACCCGTTTCACCCAAGCAAGCCGGTAACAGTTAAACCTCATCACCACATAAATATCCATAGAGGCCGCGACAACCGCGTAGCAGGATTCCTTCACCAACTACCCCTATCAGTCCACTAACCCAAGACAATACTGCTAAAAATAAACCACTCTCTTCCCCTATAAGCACCACCGCTCACTCCTCAACCCCTAACGAGGGCCCGGGATATTTTTCAGATACGACAGCAAAAAGTTGCGATCAGTCGGTGAAATAGGCGTCTGGCTACCGCCACTCGAAGTCGGCCTGCTACCCTGATCATGAACTTGAGGAACAGCAAGCTCCCCACCGCTCGTGGAAGCAAACGAAGGTACCCTAGACCTCGCCTGCGCCAACATAACGGGCTCCTTCATCTTCAACTTCTCCTCGACATGCCTCGATCCCAGCGACCCCGCCGGTGAAGGCTGCGAGAAGCTCACAGGAGGAGATGGCTGAGCTTTGCCAAAGAGCTCGAGCAACTTGTTTCTCTGCTCGGGGTTGGGGTTGGGACTAGCACCCGCGTGGCGCTGTTGATGTTGGTGGGGCACGTTGGGGATCTGCGAAGCTTGGTTCTGGTGGTATTGTTGGAACGATGGCGCAACGTGGGCGGCCTGAGGGGACCGATCCTGGTTGTATGGCTGGCCAGCGGTGGCGGCAAGATTGGCTACGGGCGACTTGTTGCCCCTGGCCTCGGCCTGTTGCCTGAGCAGACGGTCCTTGGCAGATGGCAAGTTGGGATAGACCGAGTTCTTGAGATCTTGCAAAACGGTGCTTGCGGGAACAGCATAAGTGCGCAGTTGCGCAGGCGTGAGCTCCTGAGCTTCTTGAGGCTTGGGCCGGGCCAGGATCTGAGGTCTATACGGTAGGGTGTGCTCTGCGTTAGTAGGAACGGGTTCTTCGTTGGCACCTGCCGTGAAACCTGGCCCCTGAGCAGGTGGTCCGACATTATATTGACTGCCAGAATCCGGCCTGGTGGCCAAGTCAGGCCGGCCTGCAGTGTGCAATTTAGGCGTTATGTCGCTACCGGATGGCGAGGCCGGTACTGTTTTCTTGAAGATGTCCAACAAGGCATTTCGATGCAAGTCCGCAGGCTGGATCGGCCTAGGAGCAGCACCCATAGGAAACCCTCCCGGTCCAGGATGCGGCACAGAATTCACCGAAGGTGGTTGAGTGACCTGAGGCGCATGTTGCCCATAGTATTGTCCAGCAGGACTAGGCTGTTGCCCATGCTGCCAATTACTGGGAGGTTGCTGTCGAGGCTGATCTGCCATTTGAGGATGGATATTCTCCTGGGTATTGACACCAGGGCCCCGACCGTCGCCAGAACGCACACTATCGCCTTTGAAGACGTTCAGAAGAGACATTGCCTGATTCGTCAGTTGAGGGGGATGCGGGTTCGGCGCCATCTGCCCTTGCGTAGGATCCCGCCTGCTGTGAGTCAAGAACGCCTTCAGACTGGCTTGAAGAGGCTGCTGATGCCTCTGGCCCGTGGTGTCTGGCAGGTTAGGTGTTGCCACTCCCAAGATCCCTCTAGTAAGCATGGACTGCTGAACCTGCGGCGGCAGAGGCTGCGGGTGTAGGAGAACAGGCTCCTTTCTCTGGGGAGGTGGCACATTCATATACTGATCTTGCCCATAGCCATAACCTGGAAGAGGCGGTTGCGGCTGGTTATGATTCCCAGCATTGGGGTTCTGGTTGGCCTGTGGAGGAAGTGGAAAATTAGGCGGAGGCTGGAAGTTAGGAACAGGCAAGCGTTGAGCAATATGATGATGATGATGTGGAGCTTCCGGCTCTGGAGGGTTCTGGTAAGTCAGGTCCAGAGGCGTATGGGGTACATGATGGCGAGTCGCTTGAGACTGTTGAGGCGCTTCGGCCTCCCTCTTCTTCAAGAGTGCCATCAACGCCCCACCCTTATCCGTAGTCGAGGCAGCGGCGTTCATGCCCACTGGCGGTTGCGGACCTACAGTCGAACCCTGAACCGACAGCAACCGTCGGAGCTCACGGTTAGCTCCCTCCAAAGTGTCCTTTGATGAAGTTGCTGGTACCTCGCCCATCGTTTCAGTCTGGGTCCCCATGTCATCCTCGGTCAGGGGTTCCTCCAGCTGTGTTGCAGCAGCGAGAAGAGGATTCTGACCAGCTCTGACCGCATCCCTCTTCTTCTGCTGGGACACCCACTTCTTGAGCGGCCCCAAAAACGGTGCTACCATATAGAACTTATTGGCATTCGCTGCGGCGGCGGCGGCGTCCTGTTGCTGATTGCCTTTCTTCCGAAACGAGGGAAGATCAGAGAGCCTGTACCAATCCACTTTGCTGATCTCCTTCCTGGTTTTGGGCTGGAAGACCGTGTCCATGGGGACGTTGCGAAACACGTACAGTCGTAACTGTTGATTCCTAATAGTAATTTCGATGAACTTGACATCCTCCGGTTTAGGAACGAGACCGGCTTCTCTGATATCGAACCCGGTCTCTTCATAAACTTCGCGTATAGCGCAATCCAAATCATCCTCGTCCTTGTTGATTTTACCTCTGGGAAAGCTCCAATTGGCATTCTTCTTCCAGCCTTTGACGAGAACGGTATGGTCCATGGCCTCATTCAGCAGGATGGCGCCGCGGACAGGGATTCGGGTTTTGTATTGAAGGAACCGTTCGAAGGCCTGCGTGTGTTCCCCGACGGTGAAGGTTGAGAGGAGCGGACAGTGGGCGAAGATGCGCAGGCAAAAGGTCCGGAGGGACATTAGCGGCAAGCGGTCGTCCAAAGGACGGATAAAATCTTCGTAAAACCATTGTGCCTCTTCAACTTGGAAGCAAATGCGCTCGACAGATCTAAGATCCTCTTGGGGGAGGTTGATGATGAAGCGAACGCAGAGGTCGTCCAACCCTAAGCAGAGGTATTAGCTGTTGACTGCCTCGAGGCCCGGCAGGAAACGGAAAGGGGACGGACAATCTTCGAGTTTCAGCTGTGATTCGGTCATATTGGGATGTATCTGACATTCGAAGCATATCCACAAATATAAAGATGTCGGAAAAGGAGGCTAGGGGCGTAGCTCAAGCTATGCCGTCGTACACCGTCGTCAAGCTGAACGGGGGCCGAGCGGTAGCGGTAGCTGTAGCGGTAACGGCAAGGTGGTGTGGTGCGGTGCGGTGCGGTTGCGGTGCGGGATGATGATCGGGTAGGTAGGTTGAGGATGGTGTGTTGGGAAGACGGTCTGGAGGGGAGCAAGCAGGCAAGTGTCGAGTCCGATATGTGGGAGGAGTGACGTGGTAATGTTGTCGCAATGGCGTCCGCGTGTAAAGTCGGAGGTCCCAAGGCGATGTAGTGTGGTACTGGTGTGTTGGCGAGAAGACCTCTGGTGTTGAGGATTTAAGGATGCAGTGGCGGGAATGGAAGAGGGGAAGCTTCCAAGCTCGCCTGTGTTGTTCGGAGCCTTCAGTCGCAGGTTGAAGTCGGATGAGAGGGGCAGATTGGGCTTGGGCGTTGCTTCTTGCGCCTTGAGCCAAGGTGCTGCGATAGTGCAGGGTAGGCCTTGCTGTGCTTGCGGAGGGAAGGGAGAGACGGCCGGTGGTTGGCTCTTGGATTGGCTGGAGGTCGCAGACAGTGATGGAATGAATTGGGCGGTCGGGCGGCTGCCGGTCAGTGGGATGCCACGATGCGCTGGCCGTCATTGACTGTTCTCCACCTGTAGCGGACATTCTAGCCACAATCCACTATACAAGACACCCTTGGAAAGTTTGTTAGCTCGAGACCTTTGGTCAATTAATAAGTTGATGTCTTTTCTGCGATAATGGGGGCTTACAATTAGCATGAATCTGTCAAATCAGATATTGACAATTTCTTTTCGACTCTTAGTTATGCGTTTCAAAGTACCATTACGGCGTTCAGGACGGGTTAGCATATGTTTTACTCGGAGTACTGAGCTAACGGACAAACCATCATTGGACTGTAACTTGGCACGGTTGACCTCCAGCTCAGTTTGATCTTCTGTCAATGCATCTGGACCTGTGGCGCAAGATGGCGACTTTGATGCCGAAGCTATCCAAAACACCTTTGAGATTCGGGATGAACCTTTTCTTGTTGGGCACGACCGGAGTCCCGCTCCATGGCAGATGACAGCTCGTGTGGTACCTGGATGATCATCCTATTGGTGAAAAAGTGGAGGCGGGACACAGCCCGGAGGGAGCACGCATTATTCGCCCAAGGGCAGGGACTTCCAGAGGGGAATGGGAGGGCTCCTGTCTTTTCACTCCGTGGAGGAATGGACGTCATCGCCAAAACAGGAAACCGGCACTAAACAGGCGCGCATGCATTCACGAAGCAGATGACCGGTTGTGTCCCTGGAACAACATAGATAAAGCCAAGAGTCGCCCAGGATAACTGTATCGTAGTTTCGCTTTTCTTAAAATCCTCAATATTGATTCCATCTACCCAAAGCCGAGTCGCATTGCGATTTCTCGAGCGGCATTTGTTGCAAGCGCCAGACGTGAAACCGACAAAGGAGGCGCCCTGACCAATCCACCCACCAAAGCTAAACGATAGCGTCAAAGGCTCAGAAACAAGGGTTCAAAGTCAATAAAAAGCTTTCCCGGGCGCAGTTGTTCTTCGACAACGAAGGGTTATTCTCTTTCCGACTCAAAAGCAACTCTTTAAGTAGAGTTGACATTCACCATGAACGCCATCATATCGATATTGGGCAAGAGAGCCCTCAAGAGTCTCGACACCGACAAGATCAAGCCCAACTCTGACGTAAGTCTTTGAGCAGGACTCGATATATGAGCGGCAACCCTTGCACGCATTTTACTGACACTGCAACTTGACAGAATCCATACGAAGAACGAGTCCCGGTTTACAAAAATGGCCAGATCGTCAAGTACAAGACCCAGGAGCGGCCAATCCCGGTCGAATTGTCATCAAACGACCAGGCGATCCTGAAAAAGGTGCGGAAGAGAGCATATAAATGGGACCAGGGCTTCAGGCTCTGCTGCTTCCCCATGCGGGTTGGCTGGTCCTTTTTCATTGGCCTGATTCCTATGTAAGTGATCGCAAACTTACTTCTCATGCTTCGTGTAACTGACACCACTTTTCTCAGCATCGGTGACTTTGCGGACGCTCTCATGGCCTTGTGGTTGGTAAAGAAGGCTTCCAAGATCGACGGTGGTCTACCGGCAACCCTTTACGCCAAAATGATCTCCAACATCGTGTTCGACTTTGCCATCGGTCTGATTCCCATCGTTGGCGACCTTATCGATGCTGTCTATCGAGCAAACACGCGCAACGCCTGGCTACTCCACGTGTACTTGATGGCAAAGGCTGAAGCGGTCAGGAACGGGAAAGTCTCAGATCCGGAGACCGGCGAAACCATTCACTTGTCAGGGAATGGAGCTGGTCATGGAGTGCTCCAGCCCTCAACTCGGCCTGCTCAGTCAACTTCTGCCCCGGAAGCAACACACGGACGGGGATGGGGCTGGAACCGCGGTGGTGGTGGAAGAACGGCTGAACCAGATCTGGAGTCCGGGATTGTGGAAGTTCGGCCGGAGCGGGAGCTGCGGGACAACCACGGCGGTCGGGGTGACGGCCGGAGCGGGTCTACAAGGGACCCCCGAAAGCAAGGCCGGAGATAAAGTGGTTTTGGTGGGTCCAACACGAGAGGGACGCGGTCTCGACACTTGACGTGTGCGATGTGGGGAAATTCGAGCTCTGGAGCTGCGGAGGTGAAGGCCTTTTGAGGTCGCATGATGAAGAATTAATGAACAATGACGGCACGAATTCAGTCGTGAAAAACGCAAAAGATGGAACTTCGAAAGCAAGCAGGGCGCATGGAGGAACACCCACCTAGAATTCTCGGTTTTGACTTTGTTACTTACATAATACCCCCTGTACGTCAATAGTAATTATAGCTTTTCACGACCATTCGGTTCAGGGCAAAGTTGGCGGCAGATGGCCTAGTGGCTAAACTTCTCAAGGTCTTATACAATCCCCCGATCTGGACCATTGTTGCTGAGGCGAATGTGACACTTTGAAAGATGCGGACTCATCGGACCGATCTCAACTCGACGCCTGAAGCCGATCACACAACAAAGACAAGTTCAAGATGTTCGTCAGTGGCGACCGGTTTCTACCGGAGTGCCATCGCATCCGAATTGGCGTGTCGGGTCATCCCATCATGTCCAGACAACCGGAGGGGTGACTGGTGGATCGGATGCCTGGAGTCCAAGACCATCATGGACCAATTGACGGACGTGTGACGATCTGATAAGAGAAAAAAGCAGGCATGACGGCTCGAAGATGGTTCGGATGAAAACGAGGGAGGACGCGGCATGTTGCTCGAGGGTGGATTCGATCATGTAATTGGGTGGTTGGAATGCTGTCTCGATGCTGACGGAGCAATTGTAACAAGTTGTAAAGCCTTAGAAATAGCGATGGCAATGGAACAAAGTTTCGTCTCTTGAAGCACTCTTTTATTACAGGGCGCATGCAGGGGAGGCTCGTCTGGCATCTGCGGCCGCGGGGAGGGGGAACGCTACGCTGTGCAGGGGCGTCTGTGCCTGGAGGTGTTGTGTCACTGTTTAGAAGGGGAAAGGCACGGCACGGCGGCAGAAGGAGTTGGACGCGCTCCAGGGCGTTTGAACGCGTATCCTGGAGTCCTGACGCGCAGATTTGTTGCCAGTGTGGGTTGCCAGTGGGTGCCTCTCGCCCGTTCAGGTTCTCTGGTGTGGGCACCACGTGCGGACGTGCTCCAGTACTTAAAAGAAGTGAAATCACGAACCCGTCTTGTTCTCCTCCCCCGTCTTTGTCCAAACCACTTCTCTGACGCAACCCATTTTATATCCTCTTTTAACCAATTCGTCTTGCGTCCGCAACGCTTGGTTTTGTGTCACTTCCAACTGCATCTCATCTCTTCGTCTTAGTTCACAATGTCTGTCCAGACCAGTCCTTCCAAGCAGGTCAGTACTTTACCTACCTTACATCTACATAAACAACCCCGCGACGCGACCTGCAACCACTACTCCCAACTCTCCCACCGCATCAACTCACATACCCGCCACCATGACTGTAACTGACACGAGCACTACACAGGTTACCTCCGGTATCCAGAACCTCAACATGGACTCTCCCGCCAAGAAGCTCGAGTTCGGTGCCACCGACAAGGAGAACAAGCCCTTCGACGAGGACCTTGCTAAGCTCGAGGCCGAGATCGATGCCGAACACAACGCGAACAAGAAGGCCTCCGAGGCCAAGAAGATCGCCCCTACCCTCAAGCCTGAGGAGGCCAATGAGCCTCTCCTCACCGAGAACCCTCAACGCTTCGTTCTCTTCCCCATCAAGTACCATGAGGTACGTCACGCGTCCCAGACATCCCCAATAACGCGTAAAGTGGTTCACGGGCTAATTGGACATCCACACGACAGATCTGGCAAATGTACAAGAAGGCCGAGGCTTCCTTCTGGACTGCCGAGGAGATTGATCTCTCCAAGGATCTCCACGACTGGAACAACAGATTGAACGACGACGAGAAGTTCTTCGTCTCCCACATTCTCGCCTTCTTCGCCGCCTCCGATGGTATTGTCAACGAGAACCTCGTCGAGCGTTTCAGCGGCGAGGTCCAGATCCCCGAGGCTCGCTGCTTCTACGGTTTCCAGATCATGATGGAGAACATTCACTCCGAGACCTACTCCCTCCTCATCGACACTTACATCAAGGAGCCCTCCCAGAGGACCTACCTCTTCAACGCCATTGACACCATCCCTTGCATCCGCAAGAAGGCTGATTGGGCTCTTCGCTGGATCACCGACAAGAGCTCCACCTTTGCCCAGCGTCTCGTCGCCTTTGCTGCCGTCGAGGGTATCTTCTTCAGCGGTGCTTTCGCCTCCATCTTCTGGCTCAAGAAGCGTGGTCTCATGCCCGGTCTCACCTTCTCCAACGAGCTCATCTCCCGTGATGAGGGTCTCCACACCGACTTCGCCTGCCTTCTCTTCTCTCATCTGAACAACCGCCCCAGCAAGCAGCTGATCCAGGACATCATTGTCGATGCCGTCAGGATCGAGCAGGAGTTCCTCACTGAGGCCCTCCCTTGCGCCCTTCTCGGCATGAACGCCGACCTCATGAAGCAGTACATCGAGTTCGTCGCCGATCGTCTCCTTGTCGCCCTCGGCAACGAGAAGATCTACAGGTCGACCAACCCCTTCGACTTCATGGAGAACATTTCTCTCGGTGGCAAGACCAACTTCTTCGAGAAGCGTGTTGGCGACTACCAGAAGGCTGGTGTCATGAACAGCACCAAGAAGGTCGACCCTGATGCGGAGGTGGTCAAGAACGAGAACGGCGGTGACTTCACCTTTGATGATGACTTCTAAATGCTGTTGTCCTTGCCGTTTCTTGTTCCCCTTTGCAATGCCTCGTTATGACTTTGTTTCATCAATACCCCCCACTACACTGTACCTTTTCGTTCTGATCTCACACAGGACACTCTGATATGGACATGGTTAGCAACTTGCTTATCAACTGTCAGTTGGAGATGTTTTTCTGTGTTGGATACAAAATCTTTGCCGCCATCAGCAACTCACATCAAAAGGGCGAGCGAGTTCAATGTTTTTCTTTTTATCATCAAGCACATGGGCGGAGTTATAGGCGTTATTGGGTCTCAAGATCACGGTTGACTTGATCGAGCCCTCTTGTACATACAACTGGGTTGCAACTATGAATGAGAAGATGGTAGACTATTGATAAACAAAAAGAAAAGAAGCCTCTAGGCAGTAGCTTTTTACATGTATGGGTAGAGCTTGGACTCTGCACCCTAGATACGAATTGAGTTTATGGACATCAGCGAACTTTCTTGTGGTTGGAGGTGAACTTGGAGTGACCATGACGCCTGACGCCCCGACGCAAGTATTTCGGTGATGTACACTTGGCTTCCCAAGAATTGTGAACTGAACATGAATGTTAAACGCTTGCTTTATTTCACTCCAACCCACCCTATATATTATCATCGTATTTACTCCATGCACTTCAACCCGCGTTGCCCCAACCCTCCTTCCATTCACCCCCCCCCCCAATTTACAATTCACCTCTTCCCCTTCTTCTTCTTCTTTCCCTGTCCACCTCCCTGTCCACCCGCCGCACCTCCCGCCGCCGCAGCAGGCGTCGCTTGACCACCAATAACAGGCGTAGCAGTCCCACTCACAGCAGCAGCACCCTCCTCCGCCGCAGCCGCAGCCGCATCAGCCATCACAACGTCTGCCGACTCCTTAGCCTCATCAACAGGCAGCGCAGCCATCCTCCTCCCCAATTGTCCCAGCATCTGAATCAGCCGACCCACCTCCGCGGCCTTGGAAGTCTTGTATTTCAGACACACGCCCGAGTGGGGGTCGAAGGTCTTGAGGACTAGATGGCCTCTCGATGGTTTTTTCGTCGCCGCGGTGACATCTGTGGCAGCAGCGGGTTCTGCTGGGGCGGGAGCAGCAGGGGTTTTGGTTTTGGAGGTGGTGGTCTTGCTGGAGGTTTCGCGCTGGCGACGAGCTTCCTTTGCCGCGAGCTTCTCGGTTTTGGAAGGGCGGAGGGCGGGGCGGAGGGCGTAGGAGGTTGTTACTCGGGTCTGGAGGTTCGAGTGTTAGAGAATTGGATTGCTACGTACTAAGGTGGATGGATGCAGGAGAGGGGGGGAGGAATGGGAAGAGGGGGACGGAGGAGAGCAGCGAGGGGTAGGAAGAGGAGGAGGGGGAACTGCTAGAAAGAAGAGAAGAGAAGCATACAGTCTGAGGCCTAGCCTGCAACAGCAAAGCCGACTGGTGAAGCCAGTCCTCTGACTTTTCGTAGTATGGCATCTTTGCTTTCGCTGCCTGCTTTGTGCTTGCTTTATGCAACAAAACGACGACGAGATGGTGGTGGTGGTCGCGTGCTGCGCTGCGCGGCTGGGTTGTTCAGTCGAGGTAGGTTTCGCTTCGTGCTCTTCTTGCGGCGCTTCCGATGTTCAATGTTCAATCGTTCGTTCTTCGCTTTGATCGTTATACAGAATGTGTTCGGCTGGCGGCTTTTGAACGGGGCGCACAGCGAGGTGGTGAGTTGGGAGAAATTGCGACGGCGTTAAGGCGACGTGATGTTGGAGGTAAGGATTGATGTGCGTTCACCTTGACGCTCCCCCGGGAAGTTTTGGTGCCACGGTTTCGGTGAGCTCTTGCTGGCACGGGGCGCTGAGAATGGCGTTGAATTGGTGGGGTTCACCGCGGTCCCATCGCAGCTAAAATGCGGGGCGTAACGACAGGGGATAACAGGGGGCGTGTTTACTTTGAGCTCCCGTCGTCTGACACATGAGCTTCACCAGAGTTGTATCAATCTCAACTTTACCAGTACTACGGTCAGGTTCTTTTTTTGACAGAAAATGATATTGCGCTTCATCTACTTGCTAATGTCTATCATGCCCTAACTCTAACGTAACTTACTCAACCATTGCAGGCTGTTCATCTTGACCATTTCTTTCTATCTCCTCTCGTACGAACCTGGTTAAATCAGCCTTCCAGACCAGTTGCCTGACAAACTGAACCCTTTGAAGCATGCTAACTATTCCCATACGCCTGTGAATAATGCAAAAAGGGGTATCTCATGTACAGTGCATCAAACTCTTCTTTTGTTCCGGGCGTCTTTCGTTTTCTCTTACCACGACGCTCTTCTGCTCTGCCCTGATGTAGCAACAGGATACCATCTCAGACCCTCGTACATCGCAGCATGGGTCCTGTGCAGTCTGAGCCACCACGGCCTTCATCGTGCCTGCTGTCTTGAGGAAACCCTCCAAACATGCCGGCGCCACAATGGGGACAACGCCCCATAACCACGAAGCGATTGATGTCCAGAAATGATGGAAAGTCATTTTAGATCTCCTGATCATCGTCTTCGGCCCAGACAGACGTCTCCATAAACCCTTTTTCCCCAAGCGGACGTTGGCGCTGAACCGGTAAAGCCCGGTCCCGCCTATTCCGTGGGGTCGGCCATGGAGGTGAGGTCCAACTGTTTCCGAGAGACTCCTTCTATGAATCGGAAACCGGCAGCCAAAACATAAGCTCCTTATCCGCCGTGGCAATCATGTTGAACCGTGGATTGTACTGCACAAGGACTGGTTCCTTCTTTCCTCCCTGGGGAAGGAAATGTGGTTCCAGGACCTTGTTGTTGGGAGTTTGCATTGTGTCCCAAACCAACAGATCCTTGGCCGCGCCTGACACGACATATCGTCCATCCGCTGTGAAGCAACAGTCTCCACTGCTCTCTAGCGCACCGCTCCCACCATCAGCTTCGCCAGGGGCTGGCCGTCTGGTGCCGCCTTGGGGCTTTCGCAAGTATGCCTTTAGGATTCCGTCAATAGCGTCAAAGAGGAAGTGTCCGCCGGTTCGTGTTCCCAAAAGGAGATGCTTCCCGTCGTTGGAGAACTCGAGCTTCGTCCAGCCTCTGAAGACAGCTTCCGCATCGGCCGGCCCCTTCTCCTTCAGAACGTCGATGGTTTTGAACGGTTTCACGTAGTTGCGGTAATCGTAAAGGAGGATGCTGGCGCTGGCTGGTAGAGCGATGGCAAAGACAAGGCCGGCAGGATCCCAGGCCGCTAGGGTGGGGTTGGTGAGGTGGAATCGGGCAACCCAGGTCCTGCTGTTGAGATCCCAGAGCCTGACTGTGGTGTCAAGACTGCACGAAAGAAAGTTGTCGGAGCCGGGGTGGAGAGCAATGTTGGTAACGGAAGCCTCGTGGCCTTCGAAGTAACGGATGAACGTATTATCGTGGGTTGCCAGATAGCGGATTGCGTCTGTTGCGATCAAGGTCAGCGACAAGCAGTCATGGAAGGGGGGCCCATCCACAGTGACACACCGTTTTGCTTCGTGCTCGCATAGATGATGCCCGAGCTGGAATGTGTAAACTTCGCGTGCTTGACGCCGTACTTTTTGCTCAGCAAGCTCTTATCATGCCGACCTTCCCTAACGTTATATATCTGGATGGTCTCATCGCTTTCGGAGGTCATGCATAGCTCGCCAGGGTCGTCAAAGTCGATCGAGAGAACATATGGCTGCGGCCTACCCTCCTTAACGTCGTCTCTCTGGAAGAACTTTGTCGGCCTGAAATTCTTGATAACCTCGCTGACCTTGGAGGTACTGGGCCCATTAGGCCCAAGTAACCGAGTAACGTTCAGGGAGGGTGTTCCTGCGCTGGGCTCGTCAATGTCCATCGGTGTTGACGACATCGCGGTCGATTGATCGGATTGAAACCGGCTAGAAACAGTTAAGATGGCGGGACAAAAGGATTGGGCCAGAATATATAGTAGCGGGTTGAAGGTTGTTGTTTGATGTTTGGTTCAAAACTGAGTTCAACCGTCGACCGCGTTGGTGTTTCTGCCGGGCGGAGAGAGGGAGCTCTAAAGAGCTGCAGTGATGCGACGTCAAGGTACATGGCTTGGCTGTAACCTAGGAACCCTAACCCTTTCCGTCCATGATCGTCCAAACTGCATGGACAACAACAAGCTGAATGTCACAACTTTCATCAACGCTGCCCAAGTTGGTGAGCGATGCAAACCGAGCAGTCAATTGGAAGCTGTGCTAGTGCGTGTTCACTAAGCTGAAACGTGAAACGTCAAGCATTACGGGGCAAGATACTCAGCTGAGGTCCCAGTATGACTGTCCCCCAAGTTGTCATCCGGCTCCGATTCGGAGACCTGTTGCCGGCCAACACGCTGGACCCTAACCCTTCCTCGGCAATGACAGCGTTCCCCGGCCCAGACATTTCCATTTCTGATTCAGGGTCCACGTCTCTGGGTCGCCCGACCGGCCGTGCTCCCCTGTCAAACCACGGAAACTCCACATCAATCTGGTGTCAGCACGCCGAAACCGCAGCACTTACAACTCCTTCGCCTTCGTCGCCATTGGGCACCATCCCAATCCAAGGCATCCGAGGATCTTGACCCCAACTCCCTTACCCAAAGCGGGATTCGTCCCAGTCGATCCCTTCCGATCCCCTTGCCTGCCCACTTCGGCCGACAAACCGGCGAGGCCATACTGAAGCTCCAATAAATTTCCCGGACAGCTCTCGGTGTGCCTGTTCCTGATTCCTCTTCCTTCCTGTTCCTGGAGAGAGAAGCAAGTGGGCAGGCAGTCAATCGTGTCATTGTTGTTGTCGTTCGTTTGTACATCTGTACATACATCTTTCCCCAGATCCCGTCATTGCCGTCGTTACTCTCCGTGGCACGGTGACACCCACTCCCGCTTCCCCCGGCCTTCTCCCGAATCAGTTCCCGTGTTCCCCCCTCCGAACACCGGCAAGACTCGGCATTGCGCCTTTCTTTGACTTTGCGCGCCAACTCCGTCGCAACCAACCGAACAACTGTGGGGAATTAGAGTTACACTTCCTCTCTTTCTTACCTTCCCTCAACCTTATACCTCAGAGTCACAGCAGCTACAATGTCAACAACAGCAGGGTAAGCTCTTCTTACCTCTCTTCCAATGCGTCCAGTGCGCGCTTGCGCAAGCTAGTCGCAAAACTCTCCCCCTTTTAGTACCCAGGCAGGCTAACATCACCCTCCCACCCACCAGCGCCTTCATAGCCGGCGGCATCGCAGCCTGCGGCGCCGTAACCGCCACGCACCCCTTCGAGACCGTCAAGATCCGCATGCAGCTCCAAGGCGAGCTCCAATCCTCCTCCTCCTCCCCTCACTTCTACCGGGGCCCCATCCACGGCGTATCCGTGATCGTGCGCAACGAAGGAATAGGCGGCATCTACCGCGGCATCGGGTGCGCGTACATCTACCAAATCCTGCTCAACGGATGCCGCCTGGGTTTCTACGAGCCAATGCGACACACGCTTGCCACTACCCTCTTCAACGACGCAAAGACACAGAACCTGGGCATCAACATGTTTTGCGGCGCGGCTAGTGGCATCATGGGCGCCATGGCGGGTTCGCCGTTCTTCCTGGCCAAGACGAGGTTGCAGAGTTATAGCCCCTTTTTGCCGGTGGGCACGCAGCATCAGTATAAGAACGCTTGGGACGGGTTGACTAAGATCTACAAGGGTGAGGGGATAAGGGGACTGTATAGAGGCGTGGGCGCGGCGATGATCAGGACGGGTTTTGGGTCTTCGGTGCAGCTCCCGACGTACTTCTTTGCGAAACGAAGGCTGGTACAACACTTGGGCATGGAGGAGGGGCCGGCGCTGCATTTGGCGAGTAGCACGGCGAGTGGGTTTGTGGTTTGCGTGGTGATGCATCCTCCTGGTGAGTTTTTGCTCCCCCCTTCTTCCCCTTCCTCTTTCTTCCTCCTTTCTCCTTTCTCCTTAACCCTTTTCTCCAGCTACTGTCCGGCTACCCAGCTTTGCTAACAAACTGACCGCCAAAAACAGACACAATCATGTCCCGCCTCTACAACCAAAACGGCAACCTGTACAAGGGCGTCTTCGACTGCCTGGCCAAGACCATCCGCGCCGAGGGTTTCTTCGCCATCTACAAGGGCGTCATCCCCCATCTTACCCGCATTCTCCCCCACACCATCCTGACCCTCAGCTTGGCCGAGCAGACCACCAAGCTGGTCAAGAAGCTGGAGGACAAGATCCTTGGTCCCGAGACCCGGGTCCTATAGACGAGGGCACGAGTCTTATAGTTCCTTGAGGGACTGCTTGACCCCGCGACATGATGGGGTGTGGTATCTACCAGGACCAATCCCTGGCTTGACATGAAAGAATGGAGGGGGAAGAAAGGGAGGGACAAAGGACAGGGAGGATATAACCAAAAAGGAAACGGACGGGTTAGAGAGAATGCGGTGCGGTGGGGGAAAGCGTTGGGGAGGAAGCGGTGATTTTCAACAACCGAACATATAGACTTCACATCGGCGGATATCCTGTTTCTGTTCTAGACTTCAGGCGTTAATTTTTCTTTTGGCTTCTGGGAAGCGTTTTTACTTCTTACCTTTTCGAGTCGGCTGTAGGGCAGGGTAGGGTGGGATAGGGCGGGAGGTCATCATGGGGAGGACTGACGGGATCATATACACTTTCTGTTCTTCAAAATCATGGATACCAAAAGAGCAAAGAGGGCTGGTGTGCTTTTTGTTGTGAGCATGGATATTGATACCTATGGAATTTTGGGTGTGGGTTGTTTGACGTAGCCAAGTTACTTTTGCCTTGTCTTTTCTGGGCCAAGCTTTTCTGGGCCAAGCAAGGACGCAATAGGGAATCAAAAAACCACGGCATCTGGGACAGTATTGCATCATGAACTTCTTTAGTATCGAGGAGTGGAGAGTAATGCTCACACCGTGACTAGGAGCTAACGGGAACCTAACTGTAAGTCTACCGTATCAATGGTAGAAGTAATATGCCCACATGTTTCCCGGGTGCCTTGTGCCCCATTCACCTTACGTCCCATCAGCATCTGCTTTTCCAGGTTCTTCGCCCATGGTGCCGCCGGCGAGAATGGCTTGGAATATCTGCTTCCTCCTGTGCTCCACACCCGTATCATGTACGCGGGCGCCTCGATTGTTTTAAAGGGCCTGGTGTCGAATAACAAGAGAGAGTAACATGGGTGGCCCATATGGACCGTCGTAGAATATCCTCGAGCATGGTCTCGTGTACTGAAGGTAAGCATTCTACGCTTACCGGTAATGGTCGTACAAAACCTCGTTCTTTCATAACGTAGTCGTTAAGTTGTCTTCTCTTCATTCGATGGGCCCGACGCAGATGCATTTTCTGGGTTCTACACAGCAATGCCAACCCGTTTCTTCGACTGAAAGGCTGCTGCAATTTCATCCTCGCCATCATCGTCCAAATTCAGGAGCTGGAAGCGGTTGGCAGGTGCGGCAGGCTTTGGCAGGCTGACCTCCTTGGGTTGCTTTGGGGCGGGCAGTCGGTCATAGGGCTGAGCACACTCGTCGACGTCCCAGTCAATCTTGAACGCCTTGTACTTTCTGGGCACATTGTCAGCATTCAAGTAGGCGGAAGACATCTGCCCCTGGGTTGACTTACTGACGACTCATCATGCAAGTCTTGGCGTAAACGGCAAGGTGAACCGCATTCAGACTGATGTAACAATTTCCGCCCGTGAGTGCGACTTTGATAACAGCAACGTTGTGAATGTGGTCAAGATCCTCCCGAATACCTTCTTCGGTGACTTTGGAACCGCACCGGCGAATGACCAGATTGCGGGTGGCTCCCTGGGCTATCTTTCCAGCAATATGGCCTGGCAGTACAAATTGGCGGTCACACCACTTGATGTCAACCTGAATGTCTGGTCAGTTTATAACCTCCAAGTCCATATATGACACACTGACTCACTCGCTTGTTCTTGATGTAAAGATCGTTCTTGCGGACGTGTTCGAAGAACTTTCTAGCGTCTGCAGCGTGAAGGAATGATACCGTTGCGGAGCGATCATGGGTGCGCAGAAACACGTCCAACAGCATACCGCCTCGAACGGCGTTTGTAATGTCTGCGTGTGTGGTGCTCTCGGATAGGTTGCAGAGCTGCACAGTTCTGGTGCACTGTCGATCGAATTGCTGTTTCTTCGTCTGCGGCTTGACATCGCTCACTCCCTCAGGGACACCAGGGCCGTCTGGGGAATAGACTTCGTCGCAGCATGATTCCTCATCATCGGGCTCAGCTTCATCAACATCTGCCCAAGCACCTTGGCCTCCATACTGATAACCTTCATTGTGACCACTGTAGCCGCTGTAGCTGTTCTGGCGCTCGTCTTGTTGAGGTCTGGGTGTAAATGTTTTCGGTTTGCCGAAGCCGGGAGAGGATGGTTGAGTGGGTGCCGTGTCTACATGAGTAGTACTTTCGTGTGTCGCCTCAGGCTGGTGCTGCGATGTCTCGGGATGGTGTTCTCCTTGGATGGTAGCATCATCTTGACTGAGAAGCTATCGAGTGTGGGTTCGGTCAGTTAAACAACTCTGGAGTCCCCACGGGGTAGGCTCCATATGTACGGGCCATAACCGCGTGCACCATGGAGACATACATAAATAGTCTCCTCGACCACTCCACCGCGAATCAAGTTGCGCTTCAGGTTTTCTGGACTCGAGTCAGTTCTGACATGTATTCAGAGTATCCTCCGTCTCTCTTTGGCTGTCCTCTTTGTTGTCGCGGTGACAATCATCTTCAGCGGGTTTCAACTGCCAGTAAACGCACCATACTGCCGGGCAATAAGGTTGAGATTGTCATATTCGGCCTGCGAGAGAGTGACACCCTGGCCGTGACTGCGATTAAAAGCTTCGGAATTCTTTAACGGTTATGGCAGGTCAGCTTCAGGTGAGCGACGAGTCAAGCCAATTTCATGTTCTTTGCTGGAACGGAACGTACAAACTGGGCCCTGGTAAACAAACAAAGACAAGCCAAAATCAGCAACTGTAACTGGATATACCTAGCGGTTGGCGGGACGGGCCACGAGGGATCTTTGGTGTTCTAGAAAAGAGCAAAGCAAAAAGGGAGAATGCTACCGTGAACAAAGAAACAGGACTTACCTTCGCACCAGGACATCATAATATGCCCGATCAATGGTGACGTGCGACTCCATGATGACGGACGCACGACGAGAAAAAAAGATGGAAAGTTGGAGGTTTTTGCGAGTTTGGTGTTTTCCGCATGCGAGGGGCACATCAGATAGAAAAGGAGGATCTTCCCATGTCAAAAGTCTCCCGTCTGAACCCAAACATGCCAAACATGCACCTGAGGCTTTCCGGCAGGCGTCAATCGAAGCTTCCTTCCACTTCCCGTACCCCTCCATCCGTAGAGGTGCATTCACTGGCAGTCACCTCAAAGTGACCAGAGCTAGACGACCCGCAGTGCGGGCAGGTGCTGCAACCCACCAAAACACACCCCCAGAAAAGCAGCCAAGCCCGCTAAACCAACGCATGGAGATCTGCCCCGCCCAATTAGGTTCGATCAAGCGTGCCCAAGCTGCAACCACTTTGAGCCAAAACACACCTTATCTTAGCAAGCGCGACTCGCTAGCGAAGGCATATCCTCACGTGCGACAAGCCTCAACTTCAAATGCCATTGAGAAGGAGGGGTCTGGAACTTGAACCAAAGCAACCCACCTTCACTCTGACTTTGTTGACATCCATCCCTCTTCTCAACTCGAGGTTACTTGGATGGCTGGCAACAGGAGCACGGCAGAAGCTGAAAGACGACGACGGCGCCAAGTGATACGGGCCGCCGCGCAAGAGGCAAACAGACGAGGCAGATTCGGGGCAGTGAACCACCATCTCAACGAACAACAACCAATGGCAATAGTTGAGGTGCATACTTGTCAAATGTGACGCCATTCACGAGCCAATGCCGCATCCCTTCTCCTCAGAAACGACTGCTGCATCATGCTTCCTATCGGCTGCGATACTACGCCGTGTCATCCATTGATCATGAACAGCGAGCGGGAAAAGCTGACTTACACCACATTCACTGCCGCAACGCGGGCGCACCAGGCCTTCCGCTTCTTCCTATCAGATGCCTTCGGTGGGAGAGGCAGTCATGAGAACCAAACCCGCCAATGCGACCAAGCGATATCCCCAACCTCATATCGGCATCTACCCACGAAACATACCACGACGGGATGGGCAAAGGCCTCTCCGAAGGACATGTGTGTACTACCGTTTTCTACCATGCGAGATGCGATGCAGGCGCTTGTCAATGGTTTCCTCTTCACGCCCAAAGTTGATGCCCATCAACGACACCAAGACCCCTACCCAGGATGAAGGTTTAGCCAGTGGCTAGCCAGCAAGTGCGCTAAGTCGCTGCTCGCATAGTTAACCTTCAACTCAACATTCTCACAAAGGTGAACATCGGGAACGCTTCTCAAGCCGTCAGGTCGCGCGGTCTGTGTCTGGGTGGAGGATGTTGACCACATAACAGCGTCATCACTGCAAAGGGCCAATTTCGGCTGGCCCGCTATCATCTCGACTACCTGCCCGGCAGCCTGAACTATTGCTCGACTAAAGCAGGAACCTGAAATTGACAGTCCCAACAACTCTGCTTTGTTCATCGCATCACCCAGCCAGGCACATTTCCATGGCGTCTGACATACAGCAATTGGGATTTTCAACTACAAGGGAGGCCGGCCGCCGCTGCCGGGCACGCCGGCGTCCACCGGCAACCGCCATGACTCCGGATATTTTGTGCCTGGAAAGGATAGATGAACCCTATGGGACACCCGGCAACGGCGGGCATTCTTTGGGCTGCGATACCATGTCGGAACGGTAGAAGACGGCGGCACTCGGTGCTGTTCGTGCCGCATCCAGTGTAGCCATCGGTGTAGGTGCCGGCGAAGAAATTGGCTGTCGAGATCCCGCAAAGCCTCAACATGAGACGATTCCTGTGCTCCCCGTTGACATGCAAGAAAGCTTGTCAGGTGAGCGAAACAACCAGAGAGTCGGAATCTCGTCTGCCCGGCAACCGAACCACATCCACAGATCTACGCCTGTTGGAGAACCCCAGTGACTGAGCTAATTGCCCACCGTCATAACCGGGCTGTACCTTGTGGATGATCATGCGAATCACCGCAGCGTAGCATAGGGAATGCCAGTGTCCAAGGCATTCTGTGCGACTGAATTCCAGTTTACGTTGCTCATCGTTTCCGGCCATCTGGGAAACGGCATCAGTTGACTTTTATATCCAAGTGTAGGGTATGAATCTCGAAGCATTGAAAAAGGGATGCGACCACAATGCTGGGATATTTTTAGCTCGCACATGACGGTCTCTTGTGGATGAGCCGCTCAGGCGGGAGGGGCAAAAGGGGTCCAACACGAGAAAAGACGAGCACAGGGAGAGTCCAGCCCGTGCTCTGCTGTGGCTCGTATGGCTTCAATACGACATGAATGGACCCGCGGCCAGACACACTCAGACCGGGGAATTTTTCGTGGCATTCGCTGTTTACTCGGCCCCTATTGGCCGTCTCACCCGGTGGGCCTTGATCTCACGACAGAGTGCTGTGGCTTCTCTCTCTTTTCGCTGGTGAGTCCATCCTTGTGTTGGATCCTGGCGGAAAGCTGCAGAGGAGCCATGGAAACCTCTTCTCTCCCAGACCCAGTCCCGTGAAAGTCGATCTCCAGCCATTCTGGTTCCATTTCGCCCATCTTCTCCCCTATCCACTCACCTCATCCCAGTTGCTCTTTCGCTCTCCTTCTGCCCGCTGTCTTCAGCAACCCTCACATTCGCTTTTCAGGCATTATCCAAACCGTTCGCTCCGTTCGCTGTCTCCCAGCGTTCTCATCATCCCGGATACCCGTCTCTCGCTTATCAGATCCTGTCGCTGTCCAGTTGAAGGAAGCATTCCGACGCGAAGCAAAGTTTTCCATCCATCGCATCGGTTCACTCAAGTGCACAATTTCCCACCGGCGGCATCCATTCCATTGTTCGGTTAGCAGCCCACCGCTAGCTTAGTACATACTCAGGTCCCAGGCTCCCAGCATTAGGGGTTGGTCCACCGCGCTACCAGCACCAAGACAAGCGTCGTACCACGATCTCTCTGTCGCTCAGACTCTTCAAGCCACCGACGACGACGAGTACCACAACACCCAAAAGTTATTCTCCGACGTTAAACAGCTTTGTATAGGGCAATTGCTGTTCAGCTGTTGTATATACTTTGTTTTGGGGTGAAGCCGTTTTGGGATATCGGGCTTGGATTGATCTTGGTCGCTTGGACCTCCTCGGGCATATTCATCTGAACGCCTGCTGCATACTGCATAAACACACATACTGCATAACACCACAACCACCAACACTATGAGGACATCGCTCTCTGTTGGCCAACTGGCCGTCGCATTCCTCTCTTTGTCGCCTATTGCGTCCGCTTCTGGGCTATGGCCTAGGTTTCTTCCAGAGATTGACTCCCTTGTCGTGAGGGCAGACCCAGAGCCAGGTATGTTCAAGACGGATTCATCGGGGTTCATCCAAACCCGTGCCGGACCGTGCATCAACTGACCTCAATCAATCGCAGCATCTTCCGAAGCGCCAGCACAAACGCCGACAGCGAAACCCACGGCGAAGCCTACAAACGATAACCAAGATGCCACAACCACCGCGCCCACCACGACGAAGAAGGGGCAGCCCATAAGCACCGATTACAACACTGGCCTGCTCACCCAAAGCGACTCTCCCTCTGGCTCTGGCTCCGGCACCGGCACCGCCACCGGCACCAAGACGAAGACGGGTACCAAGGCCACGACGACAAAGCACAAGACCTTCAACCCGCAAGACCCGCCAGGCTCCGTCGTCATGGTCACCCCCGGGGTCTTTGCTGGCTCTCAGCTCTACAAGATCGGCGACTACATCACCTGGGGCTGGAACTACACCAACGTTCAGGGCACGCCCACGGCCGTTGACGTGCTCGTCTCGTGCAGGGACGCCTCGGCGACCTGGACGCTCACGCAGAACATGACCTATGCCACCCCGGGCTCCTTCACCTGGGACACGCAGGCCTACCAGACCCAGAACGTCGAGAATCCGCTGCTGGTGGATACTTACACGCTCATCATCCACGACTCCGACTCGGCCATCACCGCGGCCCCCGAGGCTGGCTATCTCGCGCCCTTCAGCGGCTTCCAATTTGTTTTGTACACGCCGCAGCCGTACACCCCCCTTGGCAGCGGCTGGGTGTGCGCGACCTGCAGTGGCGGTGTTTCCGATATTGATAAGCGGGCGCTCAGCGCGGTGGTGGCCATGAGCGTGGTCACGGTTTTCAGCTTCACTTGGTTCGTTACCGGGTTTGGCGGATTCATTTGAGAAACTGAAACTCGAATTGTTGGTTGACTGGAATATGTTGATGACAAAAAGAAGAAAGGACAAATGAGACTCTGACCTACCGACCGAACTATGCTGAATCATGTGGAGGGAGCTGGAAGAGACGGAAGAGACTATGGAAAGACAATGGACGTGGTATGGAATGGTAGGGACGGTGGGACCTTGGCTAATGTTTTTGTAATAGAGTTTGTTGGATGGTCGGATTTTGTTTTGCTTATGGGGAGAGAGGAGGAAAGGAGTTGGCGTGCTTTGCTGCATCGCTTTTTCGGCCTTTTTTTTTTAATTGCTAATCCCATGTTCCCGCCAGTCAGTCGCAGTCGGTCAGCAAGCAAGCAAGCAGTACGTCACACACACGCACACAATCATTTGAATGGAGTCGAGTCGAGTCCGTTACGCGCAAACGGAAATGGATGCGGCGTTGGTTTTTTGTCTTTGGCTTATGCTAGGATTTTTTCTTGGATAAACAAGAGAAGGAGAAGAAGAAGACGTGGGGAGAGAGGGGTTGTAAGCGAAGCATAATTGTCGGTCTGTTGAAGGAGAGGAAAAAGCATAGCATTATTTTATCATGTTCATGAGAGCCTCAATATAAAGGTGTAACCTGACTTGATGTTTCATTCCTACGTACAGTGCGACATCTCAGCCTCGTCCTATAAATGGCGAAATTCATGGATCACCATTACAATTTTCGCTTCTCGAGAAGACGACGCCAGCATAAACACTGCATGCGCTCCCAACAAGACAACATCATGCGGCCGTACTTATACACCAAAGATGCAGGTCCCTACTTTTTTACCGCCCAACTGGATCTGGATCGAAGACATACAGATCGCAGGTCGCAGGTCGCAGGTTGCAGAACACAGAAACACAGATGCTGCCGCCGTCCCCAACCACTTGAGACACTCTGTACCTCATCCATCCAAAGCTGTCTCGACAACTTGCGTATCGTCCCCAATGTATAGGCGGCTAAAAGAATGCTTGATTACGTCCCTACATCTGTCTGACGCTTTAACGCGCATTAAACCTGTAGAAACTAGACATCGACAACCAAATACGTACGCTGACAGCCCGCTCAATGGCCTCATAAAACACACCCTCATGTCCCATACCCCAGCACCCACCACCAACAAAGCCCATTCATTCATTCCACCTTGGTTCGCAACAACACTAAACCATCCTCAAACTAAACCCCCCACCCCTCTCCTCCCTCTCCCTCCCCGCTCCAAAAATCCCCCCAACAAGCGAACTAAAATCCACCTGCCCCATGCTGCCATCCGCCTTCTGGCCCCGTTGGGGCGCATTCGGCGTCTCCCTCCTTCGGCGTTTCTCCTGTCCCGCTTTACTGGGAAAAGTAGGGAACATGGCCTCCTGTTTTGGTTTTGGGTCCTGCCGGAAGTATTCGTGCTCCAACATGTCTGACGCTGTCGGTCGCTTGCTGGGGTTTAGAGATAAGAGGGAGGAAAGCAAAGAAACGCCGGCGGTGGTTAGGAGGGGGAATTTGGCGCGGATTAGGGTGGTGGTGGTTGTTTGGGGGGCAGGTTTGGTGGAGGAGGAAGGGAGGCGTAAAGAGCGGGCGTTGGGTAACCGGCGGAAACCAGGCCAGGACTCGTCGGTCGGTAAGCCGCAGAGCTCAAAGATTTTCGTAAGCTCGTCGACTTCGTTTTTTCCTTGTAAAAGGGGTTCGCGGGTGAGGAGCTCGCCAAAGATGCACCCCACAGACCACATGTCGATTTCGGGCCCGTAGCGGGCCGCGCCGAGGAGGAGCTCGGGCGCGCGGTACCAGAGGGTGACGACCAGCTGGGTCAGTTTGGGTGGCGGGGGGTCGGGCACGTAGCGGGCCATGCCGAAGTCGGCGATCTTGAGCTGGCCCCGGTTGTTAAGCAGTAAATTGGAGGTCTTGAGGTCCCGGTGCAGGATGTAGTGCGAGTGCAGGTAGGCGATGCCGGAGCAGAGTTGGAGGAGGAGGGTTTTCACTTCGGAGGCGAGGAAGGGCTCGGGCATGTCTTCGAGGATGGACTTGAGGTCGTGTTCGAGGAATTCGAGGACTATGAAGATGCTGTGGGGGTTGTTAGTCTGAGTTCTTCTCCGATGTAGAGGGGATAGGAAAGGAAGGAAAAGGTGATAACATACTTCTCAATCTTACTCGTATCGTCGCTTACCACCACCTCCTTCAGCTGGACAATGTTCCTGTGACTGCAGTCCTTCAAGATTTGAATCTCCCGCAAGCCAGTGACCGGCAGACCGCTGCGATCCTTGGGATCAATCTTAAGTCTCTTCAGCGCAACAACCTTGCCGGTCTCGATCTCGCGCGCCCGCGCCACCCAGCCGTATGCGCCCTCCTCGATGTCGTTAAGCTTGTCGTAGTTCTCGACGCTGCGACACTTGCCGAATCGGCCGCCTTCGAAGCGTAGTAGTTTGCTGCTGTCATTGCTGCTCGCTGTTGTTGGTGCTGCTTGTGGTGGTGCTGCGTCGCGGTCGGGCGAGAGTCTTCGTCGCTTCGCTGGGGGCCCGTTGACATGGTCATCGTCGCCGGTTTGTTGTTGTTGGTGTTGTCGTTGCGCCGCCGCAGCTTCTGCTTCGCGCTTCTTCTTTTCAGCTTCCGCTTTGCGCGCCTTTTCGGCCTTTAGGCGCTTCTTCTCCTCCTTTTCCTTCTTCAATTGCGCTTCGAGCGCGGCGTCTTCTGCGCTGTCTGCCCAGCGGGACTTGCCCTTGCCTGTCATGGTTGAGTGTGGGCTATCGTGAAGGCCTGCTGGTAATTCGTGATGGTTCGGAGCGTGGTCGCGGGTGGATCTTGGGGTCGAGCGCGCGTTTCCTGGGTCGATGTGAAGATGCCGTGTCAAGATTTCCAGAGCTAAAATGCCCTTCTCTGATGCGTGGAAGAAACTCCAAAAGCTATTAAGGTTGTTTGGAGATTTCCTGGGTTAGGTATTCGGAGCTTGGAACACGCTACATATCAAATGTCTTGGCGTACAGGTATTTGGGGGTTGCGGTGCCGTCGTCTGTGGGACCACTACGCACTCTGCGCAACTCAACCGCCTGTCCACCAAATTTTAGGCAACAAGCTGGTATCAATGTCTTTTGGACGCTTCATACATTCTATCCAATTTTCCGTCGTGATTGTGGTTATCCCGTTGTTTTTCTGTCTGAGTCTGTGTAGCTTCGCAGACCCCTGTCGCCGGAGCCGCGCTAATCATCAAACTAGTCCTAATTGAGCTGGACAACATTCGAACAACATCCAAAATGAAAAAGGAAAACAGAGTTCGAATGGTCTGACTACGCTGCTTCCATTTCACCATGTTGCACGGAATGAAAGAAGGCAAAAAGATTGCGTGGAAGGGTTGAGCCAGGAATCGAACCCGGATGGTCTCCCTCATTGGGACCTTGGGCCACCTACTAAGATGCATCAACCAAGATCGCTCATATCATCGGGAGACCAGTGCACCACACCACTCGACCACAGTACCACGACTTTCTGTTGGAAATACCTACATAACACCTTGCCTATAAACCCCGAAAGTATGGCGCACAGCACTTGAAAATAGCAAAAGAAGACTGATAATGCGCACGCTGTATTTTCAGGTATTCCGGAGTCCTGGATGTAAGACAACGAAGCTTGGCCTTCAGGGTCCCTCCAACTTACACGGTGTCCCACCCCACCATAACAGCTGCCGGACAACTGTAGACCAGCCCCTGGCAGCCATTCGCAGAGGACACTTGACCGTAGAGGTTCCCAATTCTGCTGCAAGCCTGCAAGAGCGTTGTTCGGTTCTCATGGCCCGCTGGTGCCGCGTCATGGCATTCGCATCGTCCCATTCTGAGCCGGGCCATGGCGGTCTCTTCCGGCTGCCCTGGTGGTCCCCTCTCCGATTCCGCATCGTTAGAGAAGTCGCCAGTGACGTTGGCCCGCCCCCGCTGCCCGGTCCGTTCCCGTGTTCTGGCCATGACTTGAAGCAGAAAGGCCGATCAGACCCAATGCAAGTGGGAACGGGGAGCCAGAGCCAACGGTTGCCAATGGGAAACAATTGCACCATTTCCCGGTTTCTCAAACTTGACTTGTAAATGCGATTTCGTTACATTGGATCACCAAATCCAACCACAGCATCACCGTCCGAAACAATCTGGAATTGCTGGAGACTCCCACACAAGCTCTCCGCCAATTCAGTCCGCGTACCTGACATACGACTGCATTGCGGCTCCCTTGGCCTCCATTTTGCCAGACGGTCCCTTGCTCATACGGTACAGCAAGTGGCTACCGTACGCGCGTCACATACTAACTAACCTCTTTTCCTCCCTTCTTCTTTTTCTTTTTGATGCCTTCTCTTTCGTGTACAAGCAGGCAATGTACGGCCCCGCTGGTGCGCCTCCGTGACACTGCGCTTGCGCCCACTGCTGCCCATCACTTCCATCTCGCTGTTTGCGTCTCGAAACGACCCCGGAGCCAACTGCTTCCGTTTAGCTCGTCTGCCGCTTCGTTGAGGAGGACACCTCGCCTTGAACTCTTACTACAACGTCAATGCTTAGGGACACATACCACAACTACAACAACAACAACAACAACAACAACAACAACAACAATCCCTAGTCCTCCCAGTCGCTGCTACGACACTTACTCAAACAGTCGCTCCTTCGAGGATCGCTTACGACGCTCCTTGATCCCTGTCTCCTCTTCGAGCAACCCCCCTTATCCCTCCCTTCTCTCCCAACTCCTACGACCACGAAGGAGGACAGCAACAACAACAAGGACAGCAGTCATGACCACGCCCACCCAATCTCGAGGCCACGCCGGCCACTCCCACGGCCTCGGCCACCACCACCATCACCACGACAATGTCTACCTGACCTCGCGAAACAAGGCCGACGCCGGTGTGCGCATCACCCGGATCGGCCTCTACTCCAACCTGGGCATGGCCATCGCAAAGGGCCTAGGCGGGTACGCCTTCAACTCGCAATCCATGATCGCCGACGCCTGGCACAGCTTGACCGATCTGGCCTCGGACATCCTGACGCTCGCGACCGTCTCGTGGAGCTTGCGCCCGCCAACCGACAACTTCCCCTACGGCTTCGGCAAGGTCGAGAGCTTGGGGTCGCTGGGCGTGTCGAGCATGCTCCTGTTTGGCGGACTCTTCATGTGTATGAACAGCTGCACCTCGCTATATGCGCACTTCTTCCTCGATCCGGCGGCTGCGGCGCAACTCCTGGAACACAGTCACGGTCACGGCCATGGACACCATCACCATCATGGAGTGAGCGCCGAAGGACCTAGTTTGCATGCTGCTTGGTTGGCGGCCGGTACGGTGGCCGTCAAGGAGTGGCTTTACCATGCTAGTACGTTGCCGTCCCCCCCCCCCCCCCCCTCCTTTTTTTTTGTCCCCCTTCCCTCCCCTTTGTCCCCCCAATCTCCCCTCCCATCATAACCCCCACTAACACCTTGTCCCAACCAGCAATGAAAGTAGCCCGCGACCGTAAATCCTCCGTCCTCGCCTCCAACGCCGTGCACCACCGCGTCGACTCTCTCACCGGCATCGTCACCCTCGCCGCCATCCTCGGCGCCAACTTCCTCCACAACGCCTCCTGGCTCGACCCCGTCGGCGGCCTTCTCATCTCCCTCCTCGTCATCAAAGCCGGCTACTCCAACACCGTTTCCGCCCTCTACGAGCTCGCCGACCGCTCCATCGACGACGAAGTCAAGCACTCGGTGCGCAAGCAATGTCTTAAGGCCCTCCAGGGGGTATCCGAAGGCCACGAGGTCGAAGTCGTCGAGATAACAGGCGTCAAGTCCGGCCAGAATTATTTGTTGGACATCGAGCTGGCGGTGCCCAACATGTGGACGGTGGAGGACGTGCGGGAGGTGGAGGATGCGGTGCGGACGCAGGTGGGCGCCAAGGTGAGGGGTGCGAGGAAGGTTAGGATACGGTTCGTGCCCAAGGAGGAGGGGGCGGCGAAGATTAAGAAGTTTGATGAGTTTATTCCGGGGGATGTTAGTCCTAAGACTAGTCCGGAGCCGGAGGAGGAGGAGGTTGTTGGTGAGGAAGAGGCAAAGGAGCATGATCATGAGCATGATCATGAGCATCATAAGCATCAGTAAGGGAGCAAGCAGGGTGTATGTTTGATTTGGGTAAAGGTATCTCGGTTTATCTAGAGCGTATATATAGTACAGATCTGTTGGCTGTGTTGGCGCGCGGAAAGGGGCTTTGGGGAATGGAAGCATTTGGAGTGTAAGGATTTGCTCATGTATCGAGTAAAGGAGAAGAAGGGGCTGTTGTGTGTTCATTGATCATTCCATGTACGTACTCTATGTACACATTGGAGTTGGTTTCGCACATAGGATCATGCCATTGTACCTACCGAGGATTCAAGCTCTTTTCCTTGGTTTTAAGTATTTTTTGCATAGAAGGCCGAAAAGTCGATAGAATCATACCAGCTAATTCAGCTCCGGAGTCTATGCTACTCGCAGGCTAGTAATAACCCCAAAATCGCTATACTCATAACAGCTACTACTCCATAAACGCTGTTGCAACAAGAAATGCATCGGCAGTGTTAACTGCCCTGTGCTCCCCCTTCTTTTCGTCCGCTAGTTATCCCAGCATTCAACTCCTCGCTCATGTTCCGCTTCATGTAAAAGCACCATCAATCCCTCATGCTCCCCCCATCACCTCAAAATCCCCGTCCTCCCAACACCCCCCCTCGTACCCCTCCACTTCTCCCTCCAAGACCAAATTCTCGACACCTCCTTATGCAAAGAAAGATTCACATCCCGTATATCAAACGAGCTAAAGGAGCTTCTGATAACGCTCCCCGTATCTTCATCCTCCTCCTCTGCATCATCGTCAACACATTCCTCAACCTCAGCCACATGACTCTTCACCAGCAAAGAGTGCCCATCAGCATCAGCAGCTGGGTCCTCGTCGACCTCCCCGACCGTACGGACGTGAACCTGATTAATGGCGGACTCCTCCTCGCAGGCTAGAACGCTCTGTGCTAGAGAGAGGACGTCGAGCCAGGTCATTTTGGTTGGTAGTTGTGCGTTGACGGGGAAGTACTTGTTGGTACGGGTTGGGAAAGGAAGGCGTCCAGGGAGGGGAATTCTGCTGGCAGAGGGGGTGGTGGAGGGGGGGAGGGAGGGAGAAGTTTGTCGGGGGTTGTTGGGTTTGGTGTTTCGGGTGGTGTGTTGTCGTTGGTATCTGAGTTGACGGCAGAGAATAATAAGTGGTATAGAATGTTTGGTTCGAAGGGGTCGTCGGATGTGGTTGAACCATCTTTTGATGGTTGCGGGTTGTTTGATTTGGTCGTAGAGTTTGGGTGGACGGGGTTTGGTTCATGCTCGGGGATCGACCAAACTTCTGTATCCGAGAGAATTTCCAACCTCGAGGGTGGTCTCGCTCTCGATGTCATCAAAGAAAGTTTTTCCAAGTATGATGACGATGCGTCTGTTGGGATTGACGGAAGTTCGGTGCATGAGGATCTCATTTGGCTCGATGAATACTCTAGGCTCCGTGACTGTATCGGGCTCAAATGGCGAGAAAACTTGTGGCCTGGAACATGTCTGTACCTAGAAGAATCAGTATGCCGCATTCGAATTCCGGAGGCTTTTTTTTTTGTATAACATACCCAAAGTCTTGCCAATTCTTGGGCACGACAGGTTCGGTTTCTGTTATTGTTAGTGTACTCCGGAATCGTCAAAGTGGGAGCCTCAGCCGAGTACCAACCTTGAAATCGAGGCTCTTTCCGATGGATAGAGTGTAGAAGACGTCCTCTCCTGGATAACTGGGGGGTGTTACCAAGGGTCGGTCTTGGGGTGCTATCCTCAGCAACTTGAACCAGATTGTTGCCGTGGTCGACTTCTTTGTTGAGTGTGCTGGAGTCAAAGTTGTCGGTAAGCGGATGTTTCGAGCTTGACTGCTGTTCTCTCGTCTTCCTCCTGGCGAGTTGATACTATCTTTTTCCGGGTGCTTTGCGTAGTCCATATTCATGCCCCTCGTCTTTCGGAGGCGTCAATCGACCGAGCAGTCCGGTGTTCTTGTGCTGAAATCCCAGCGTGAATGGACATTTTGGAAATCTCCCCTTCCATGACTTGAGTGCTGGAAGTGCTGCAGATTTCGGATTGGATGGACCGTTGTCGTTCTTGAATCTTGTGAACATGGTGCCACGCGGAACTCCCGTCTTCCTGCCCAAGCGATCTGACATTGTGGAAGACGCATGTGGGACACGAATCCATGGTAAAGAATGAAAAAAACTATGTGTTGAAAACGCCGGCATCCGGTCGTCGACTATCAAAACGATAGACAGGCTAATATCAGCCGGTCAGAGAAGATACAGAAGAGTGATATGTTGGAGTCATTGTCGACAAGAACTTAAGTTGTTCTTAGGCTCGGTGACTTCAACCATGCGGAGCAAGACTAACTGCGCCTGACAGCTTCCTTCTCCTGTTACGTGTAAAGCGATGATGAGATCTCCAAGAAGGAGTGAACCGTAAGAGTGGTGTGGTTGATGTTAGTGAGGAAACAGCGCGCCGGCAGTTATCGGGACTTCAAGGTATACATAGCAAAGTACAGTGGTCTGTGCTTGAGCTTCCAGGTACCTCTTGGCGCTTGGCGCTTGGCAGTGATCGGCGTTGCAGGGACCAAGGGACAAGTGAAGCGGGAAGCAAAACTCCTGACGCGACACCCCACGGCAAAGAATATAGAGACACGCCTCCCGCGCCCGCTGCTCCCTCACTCTTTACCGTCCCGTACCTTGACCTTTGAACCTTTGTCCCCATCCCGCGCAGCTGCCCTGTGAAAGACTGCGAACTCCAACCAAAGCATTGGCGCATCATCAACCAAGGTTCAACTCCCATAACCCATCGACGTATCCTGTCCATATCCTGCGGCATCACAACCATCCGCGACCATATTTCGGCGACTGGACATCCCGCCTCCACAACCTCTTTCGACCGACCGCACTTTGTACAGCATTTCTTAACTAGCCGACACAATGGGGAAAGATAGAAAGGTCGCCGAAGACTTCCAGAAGCTCATTCAGGCAGACCGCGAGAAGAAAAAGAACGAGGCCCTCGCGGCCAGGATCTTCAACAGAACCAGCACGCCCGTCTCTACGCCCAGACAGACCACCGGTGGTTCGCTCGCAAGCCGCGCCGGTGTCAAGAAGGTATGCTCGCAATCTTGAACACTCACCTTGTAGATCGCTTCACCATGCGCTCGGAATCGTTGACCCTTCATGTCTGTTCCAGCAACGCGGCGGCGCCCCCCAGTCGGCACCTTCGAAGAACAACAGCGAGAAAGTCGGCTCATGGACCATTGATCTTGGTCCTGGCTCCAGGTCCGCCAACAATACCCCGAAGCCCACCGGTTCTCTTGCGGCGCGCATCACCACCCCGAATGCTGGACCTGCGGGTAACCCCCGCCAGAAGAGGCGGGCTGCGCAGATGGCGGAGGCGATCATTAGGAATGAGTTCAAGGAGCAGTCGGATCAGCGCAAGCAGCAAGGTCAACAGAGGCGTCAGCAACAACACCAACAGCAACAGCACCACCAGCCCCCTCCTAATGCCCCCAAGGGGCCGGCAGCTGCGTCAGTTCCTACCGGTCCTAGTAGCAAGGGATTTACAATCAGGGGTCTGGCGGGACCTTTTGCGGTGATGGCGCAGAACTTTGCTCCCGGAACGACAGCGGCCGATATCGAGAACGCCATGACCCCCATCGGCGGCCTAATACTTAGCTGTCGTATCATGAAGCACAACCCGATTGTTATTGCCGAGATTGTGTTTGAGAGCAAGGAGGGTGCCGACAATGTGATTGCCACATTTGACAAGCAGACAGTCAGTTTAACCCCCATTCCGCTTGACCAAGCCCCAGAGAAGCTAACGTGGTTGCCCAGGCCGACGGTCGTGTTCTTAGTGTGTATCACAAACCAAGCGGTCCTACTTATCCCCTTACCTCCCAGCTACCTCCGCCTCGCGCTCCCACCGGTCCCCGCTCTCAGCGCTCGAACGACTACTATCCCGAGGACGATCTGATTGACGGAACTATGGGCTTCGAAGACCCTATGGAGGACGACGACTTGTTGGCTAATGGCAACGGACGGCAGCCACCCAGGGGACCGGCAGCTATGAATGGTGGCGGCACCGGCGGGCTCTATAGCGACCAGCTGGTACGTAACCGGAAGGGCAGAGGATTCAATGGCAAATACTAGTACCATCGCAGGAGAGGTCGTTCAGAAGACCCAGATTGAACAAGGGTTGATGTGCGGGTACATATGGGTTAGGTACCATGATTCCGTCATCAGAATACCTAGTCCGGAGTCAAGGACTACGAAGAAGGAAGAGGAGGTTACTACAAGGAACTTTAGGGGTTGAACAATAGACACTCAGGATGGCACAAGTGTGGATGGGTTTACCAACCCTGTTTGACAGGACTCGGCAAGGCACGGCGCACTTGGCGTTAATAGGGAAAGGAAAGGCAGGCAGGCAGGCAGGCAGGCAGGGGCTTGCCTTGTGTATGAAAGCGAAAAATATTGTACGCTTATGGACGTCTATCGGTCGATGGAGGATCGGCAAAGTCCCTTGGACAAGGGGAAAAAATGGTTAATAAACACCATACATTAGAGCGTTATAGCTTGTCGAGATCTTGCAAAATGTCTAATGGTATCTCGTTATGACCTACGCCAGTCGGGTGCTCTCTATCTATCTTCCTTTTTCCACAACGAAGATGCTGAACACTATCTACTACCCCCGAATCGACCTCTCACACCCATAACATATCCTCTGCTTCGTCTTCTTCTCTCCCTCACCCCCTACCACAACATCCCGATAATTATCCTCTCCCAACTCTCCCTTCCACCGCTGATCCCCAAACTCATCAAGCGGCATACTACACAGACCGCACAGCCTCTCCTCATCATCATCATCCTCCTCCTCATTTTCATCTTCTCCCTCTGTCTTACTTCTAACTCCCTCATCCCCATCCGCTCCAGCACCACCACCACCAAACAACCTCATCAACTTCCCCGTCGTCCTCGCCACATTCGCCACAATACTCGGATAATTCTCCTCCACATCCGCAAAATACCTAACCATCACCTCCTCAATGCTCAGATCCTTGTGCGAAACCACCGCCGCTGTCGTTGTCAGGTCGGTCTCGGGAAGTAAATCAGCAATCGGTGTTGGCTCGCCGCTAAGTTTGGTAAAGGTTACCAACTCCTTTCGTAGAGCGTCGCGGAGGGGGTGGTAGATTAGTATTCCTGTTTCATCCGTCTTCAAGGAAGAAGAAGAGTTGGGGCTGAAAGAAGGAACCCCCAACACCCCATCATTAATCTGCCACGGCAACGAAAACCCTCTCCCCTTCGCCGTCTCGGACAGCGTCAACTCAGCCAAGGCGGTGGTGCTGCTGCCCAATAGCAAAGCGTGGCACTGGCTCTTGCGCGCTTCGGCGATGAGTAAGTGCCGAGTGAAGAGGCGGAGGAGATCGGTGCGGGAGGTGGTAGAGGAGGGGAGGTTGTCGAACAGCTGCCGCAGTCTCTCTGCCTTTGTCGTCGTCGTCACCTCGGTCTCGTCCTTCTGCTCAGTTACAAAACCCCCCAACCCCAACCCCAACCCCAACCCCTCCCAATCCACAGTCTCCAACCCAACCACCTCCTCCAGGTACACCACTCTAAACTCAAACCTCGGATACCTCCTCCCCAACCTCCTCACCACCTCTTCCACCTTCTCCCTCTCCCTCCCCTTCCCATCCCCCTCCAACCCAGCACCACTCACATGCACCACCCCCAACTCAAAAGGCGCATTCCTCCCCCTCCCCACTTGAAACTCCACATTCTCATTCAACAGCTCCAACAACGCCGCTGAGCTCGGTCCCAGACTCAATCCCAACAAATACCGGCGGGAGGAAGCCTGGGGCGGACCGGCATTTTTTTGGGTGGAGTGATAATCGGAGAGGGCGGAAGACGAGGAGGAGCGCACGTCTTTGTTTAGCAGGCCGATTTGTTTGATGCATTTTGCCGAGATGAATTTTTGGAAGCAGAGTCTGGGAGGGGGGGGGTTAGTATCGTGGAAGAAGGGGGGGTGGGGGTGGGTGGAGGGGAAAAGGACGAACCGGCAGACGAGTTGGCCGCGGGAGTCGAGGGTTCCTGGGTTGGAACGGCATTTGACGCAGGGTTTGGTTGTTGCGGTGGTTGTGGTGGATGACATGGCTGGTGAAGTTGTGGGAGGTGGTGATGTTGAGGCCATCATGATCTTTTGGATGGTGCTTGAGTTGGGAGGACGTGTGATGACTGATGTTGCTGGTAACGGCGTCTTTGGTTTGGTGGCTTTTCAAAATTCACGGACTACAGTCCTTAAAACTCAAAATTGGGTCTTGGAAAAGGAGCGTGGCGATGTTGATTTGTGAGGGTTGAGTCACTCGAAAGTGAGTGCATGTGATGCGTGCTCATTCAACTTTTTGTTGTTGCATGTGCAGTTTTTACAGGCTGTGCTTACTCCCAAGGGTTAGGGTTCTTTGTGGATGATCCCCTGAAAAGGGGCTCAACGGTGGTTGTTTGGATTGTCGGGACATAGAGTTGCCGAGGAGCTGTATCATTGTCCACAGAGCTACTAACCATAGCCAAGTTCATATTAAGTCTCCTCTTCGGCTAATGGCGGCGTTATATCTCACATCTCCAGTAGTTATACAAGCATCACGTTCGGCACCGGCAACTGCTGTCCAGAACTCGAAGTGTAAGGCACACCATGTGACTGAACGACTGAGAGAACTATGGTCGCTATTTGGTTATTTCTTTCAAAACTGAAAGCATGCTATGAGAGACGTATACATATACAATGAACCGCTTATGCTCCCTTAACCTTAGAGTGTATATGTACCCAAATCATGCCAATCCCAAGGATCGTAAGTGCCTTCTTCCCTCACCTGACTACTTGATTCACCACTCTTCTCTGCGGATTTCCTGGCTAACTCCCACTTGTCGGGCCCAGAGTGTCCTGGTTTAGAAGAAGATAAATCAAAAAGATGGCATAGAACAGGCTTATCCAAAAACCACTGGCTGTCTTCACGTAGCGCGTGATGCATGATCAGGAGTCCGTATTTGAGTATTCCTCGATCCTTGTTACCGGTCGTTGTGTGTTTGGCATCGCCATTGTCATTGTCGGTGCCGTTACCATTGCCGTTCTTTCGCTTGCGTTTGCGTTTGCCTTTACCGATGTCCTTGCCGTTGTCTTTGACTTTTTTGTCCATGTCATCGTTCTTTTTCTCAGAAAGACCACGGCATCGTATGATCATGCACACTCCAATGTGTACCAAAACATGGAATATGAACTTGTTTCCCGGGTGACTGTTGTTCCTGACTTTGGCAAAATATCCTTGAATGAATCCCCGGGCCACATCACCCGCGAGCGTGGTGTTCTGCTTGTAGAGTACAACCAAGTCAGCCATCAACGGACCGAGGTCAAACGCAGGATGTCCTTCACGACAATCACGCCAATCGGAAACGTAAACAGATGGCAACTGCCTTGGGTCGTCTCGCTTATCAAGCGGGGAGTACATGATATGGAGGCTACACAAGATGAACACGTCAGTTCTAGTGCCCTTGGTAGTAATTGACAACACAGCCGCCGTGCCATGCTCACCGGGATAGGTCAAAGTTGCCATTGAGAATTTGAAACGATTGTCTCTTCCCAGGAATGGCATAGTTTGCCCTTATCAAGCCGCGGACTTGGTCCAAAGTTTTATGAGCGCTTTTATGAGCGCGTTTCGGAAGCTGATGAATGGCCTTGTTTAGCTCCTCAAAGATAGACTTGTGATGCTGGTCGATGAGATCAGGGCCTCGCACAATGGCCTGTAATTTCTTAACCACCTGTTCTTCCGAGCCCCAATTGTGAAAATGCCCGAGCCAGTTTCCAATATCATACCTAAGGGGGTTGGCGGCGGCAGGGATTGTTGACTCGCGGTCCTTCGAGTGCTCTAAGGCTCGTATGTAGTTCCAGAGACTCAAGGTGCCGAGGCCGGGAATCTTGTCAATGGCGATGGTTGTTCCGTCGTTAAACATGTGTGAATAGTCCCGTACTTCGTAGTGTGAAACGGAGTGCTCAGGTATCGCCTTCTCGTCAGGTAAAGGCATGTGATTGAGTGCCTCCCTGATAACATGCTGAAATGAGGCCACATGGTGTCAGTAGCTGTAGATTCAACAGAGGGTGCTTTCTTGTGCTTATTCTGGAAGACTTACCTGGCGGGCTCGAATGTTGGGAACTCGCCCTACGTTGACCACGCATGTTGGTAGTGCATGTTGGGGCAAACCATCTATTACCCCTTCGAATCGGAAATACTGTTTATCACTCGGTAACTCTTTCCTGATATTTATCGATATCTCACCCCCTGTGTCACGGAGCAGCCGCGCAACCGCAAGGGCGGCGGTGCTGGCACGCAATTCTTTAATAACCTTGGCTTGGTCGGTACTGTTTTTACGGGACTTGACCGACTTGCCAGACCCAGACGACTCCTTGGTGGATTCAGGGTCCATAAGGGAATATTTGAGCAAGTGAAACGATCGGGTTGATTCAACTGCTGAATAATTTGATGAGGCAAGTTCCGATACAACGAGTGGAATAGAAGCTGATAAGAGTATGTAATGATTACTTGGAAATATCCAATGAGCAGATGTGAATAATGTGTAGATGGTCACGTCGAACGCGAGCTCGACTTTTCCTCTCAGCAGTCTTGAGATGCTCTTGAAGGCTTTCTCCCATCATATGACTTGTCTTGAGGAAAGAAGGACACCTCAGGCTTGGCCATTACCCCAGCGTCAGACGGCACCTACCTCGCCTGGAAGTGTAAATGGGGAAGTAACGACTCTGATCGTGACCATGGTGACCCGAAGTGTCACTCTCTGAGACTGCAGCTTCCCCGAATCTCGGCATTTTTGGTCGGTCGCTTCCAGACCTTCTTGGACGTTTCTCTCTTGGTATGGTGTTTCCAGGCCAAGACGGCCAAGTAGGCCAAGCTCTGGGGAAGGAGAATCGATTGACCTCGATCGAAAAGCCAAAGAAGACCAGAAGACGCCAGGGCTCGGGGAACCTTCAACGACCAGGAAGTGGAATGGGATCCGCATGGCAGTACATAGGTGGTTTCCATAACCGAATGTAGCTCCGTGTGCTCCATATGTAATTATGCCTCAACTCAATTAGTTGTTTTGATGTCGGCAATCTCGCTCCTCGTGCAATCTCCGCTAGTTTCGTCTCCCATGGATCGGTTTCGCTCTCCGTCGTTGACGCCGGTCTCCAGTCGGCACTTGTGTACATTGTAACACAAGCCGAGATTGGGTGTGAATTGTTAGTTGTGCTCAGTAGTAGCCTCGCCGTTGCCCATTATGGTGTCGCTGCGGTTAGACCACTACACGATTGAGACTGCAGTCCATTCATTGCCGCCCGTCTGGCGCTTATGAGTGAAGTTAAGAAAGAGGCATCTGCACCCTCCCCATGCCATCTCCACCTCTTCGAATTGCTTGGGTGAGTCGTTCGGATCCAACGAACGGAAGCGTCAACGTTCAAACGTTCGGCTCCAGCTTCTGCATGTCCTGGATGTGTCGCACTTGTTGGACCTCTGAAACCATCTCGAACGGCGAGAACAATGCTGACCTATGTAGTCCTCGTTGCCGCCCATGCTCGACAACCACTCATTCGGTGACACCGACCAGATGAAGCACCAAACAATAGGGCATGGACTGCATCCTCGGTACTTGATGCCCCTGATGGATCTGGATTGCCAGCCGATAGCGCATCTCATTTCGATATTGCACATTGATGAGAAGGTTTGTGAACAAGAGAAAGCCCAGGCACCCCCGTCTGTTGCTTAAATTTAGGTCATCGAAGCAACATGGCCCGTCCCCGCTCGCTCGCCCACCTGCCGACACCTGTGGCCCTCGAGGGTACGTACCGCTATGCTTCATCATATTATCAAATACTCATCATTAGCATCACAAACATGGCCGTCTACCTTGTCAAGAACTATTGCCTATAGTACTCCTGGGTTCAAGTCTGATATGGGACACACTTGAGCATTGCCGTGCCTCCCATCCCCTGAGTTGAAAGGTTGACCGGAAGGTTGACTGCAAGCCATCCTCAACTGTTTCAAAGTGTCTCGGCACCGCGAGCTCAGCCTCTGTCCTGATCATCAAAGTACCACCTGAGCCAGGAAAGAACTTGAGACCTTCAACGGATGAGCACGAGGGTGTGGTCGGTTGCCCTGAAGAAGCTAGGTTGGAATAATTCCAGGTCAACTGCCACTGGAACTTCAGGTCGCACCCACTGGAATTTGCATTGGTCCGGGCCCTGGGTTCCATTTCCTTACTAGACTCCGTGAACTCCTCCTCCACACACATCGAGTTAAATGGAAGCCCGGATTGGCCGCCCCGGCAACGCTCCAGAGTCTCCACCCCGACTAATAATTCCCGTCTGGCCTGGGTGGACACTGGTTTCGGACCTCATCTAAACAGACTCACCCAGGTTCATTCATCAACTCAAACTGAATGATTTGAAGCTTCTCACGATTTTACTCCCCCGCCGGCCTGCATCGCTGCTGTGAGCTGCATCCTCCTTTTCTCCACCTTCCCGTCCGTCTGCCAGCTGCTGCACCATTTCGTCCGTTCGGTTGCATCTCGGCTCGCTTCAGTTGCTCCGTCATCTGCCCGGTACAGTAGTGGAGCGTGCTTACTTCTGCTTCTGCTTCGGCTTCTGCTTCTGCTTCCATTTCCACATCACTTCCACTGCTCGTCAGCTGCCGCCTCACGCACGTCGCCGGTCCTTACCCTTGGGCTTCATAATTCCTCCATCATCCCGTCGAGGGTTGCCTTCGCTTACATTATTACCCTTCCGCCTTTTCAGCACAACACATCGCTCCTTCTCTGCTTACCAACGACGACGACGAATCACAAACACTGACCGACATCACCATCGCCAAACTCACCACCACCATCACTACCATCATTACTAGCAGCACTCTTTTAAATCGAATTACATGTGCCATCCGCCATCATGACCGAAATGTACACTCAGCCTCCGGTCTCTTCGGCTACCGCCCCAACTCAAGGTCGCCGCGTCAGCGTCGCCATCCCGCCTTCGTCTATCCCTATGCCGCCTCCATCTACAGCTGTCCGACTAAGGAGTAATCTTGCCGGCGAGACATTTTCGCCCGTCAACCAGAACGGAAGCTTCGAGTTCGACCGTGTTCTCAAGAGCGGCTATGTGCAAAAGCGCACCTCAAAAACCAAGGTACGTCTTTGGCCTGTTATGGGCATCGTTTAGTACCGGGCTGTATCTCACCGTCGCGGTACAGGCTTGGAGGACTATTTATCTCGTCTTGCGCCCCAACACTCTGTCCATCTACAAATCGGATAAAGAGGAGAAGCTTCGACACAAAATCTACCTGTCGGATCTGACGGCCGTCACTTTCCTCAAAGACCCAAAGCAGAAACGCCCAAACGTCTTTGGCCTGTTTTCGCCCGCAAAGAACTTCCATTTCCAAGCTCCGACTTTGCAGGATGCCCAGGAGTGGGTTGACTTGATCAGGAAGGATGCCAGGATAGAGGAGGAAGAGGAGGAACTATTCTTGGCCAGCCCACCTCCCCGACGACAATCCGATCTCAACTACGCCCCTGCCACTGATCGGGAACGACTTGCTTCGAGCTCACCGGAACCCCTCGAGCCTCCTGTACGGATCCTGGCATCTCCTGGCGGACGACGTCCATCGGCCATTGAATCATCGGGAATGTCGGAGACAGAACTTGCGTCGCATTCCGACTTCTCCGATTCGGATTTCCAACGGATACCGGGCGCAACAATCGAAAGTTTGTGTGCGCGGTCTCAATCCGTATCACAAGCACGAGTACGAGCAGCACAGGCACAGGGTGCCCCCATGACCCCAGGAGCGATGAACATTAGCCAATCTAGCGGCATCAACCTCGAGCAAGACCCGGATCGGATTATTTGGCAGGGATGGTTGCGATTCCTCCGCAGTAAACGTGGCGTCAAGCAATGGAAGAAATCATGGGCAGTCTTACGACCAAGAAATCTCATTCTGTACAAGGACGCATCCGAGTACTCGGTTCTCTTCGTCGTCGCTTTCTCGTCAATCGTCAACGTTGTGGACATCGATCCGCTAAGCAAGTCCAAGGCCCATTGCTTGCAAATCATCACGGACGAGAAGAGCTATCGATTTTGCGCCCAAAACGAGGAGGAGCTCGTTCAGTGTCTGGGTGCTTTCAAGAGTCTACTGGCAAAGAGGAGGGAATTGGAGTCAAAGGCGGCAGCATCGACAGCGAATGCGACCACCGACCATCAGCCTCGCCCGTCCGCATGATTTGTCGAGGCTGTTTCACATTGCATTGCTGGGCGAATCAAAAAATGACTTCTAGATGGGGTTTGGAATTGGAATGGTGTTGACGGACATGGTTGGACGGACGGACGGACACATTCGTTGTTTATTGTTTACTTTTGTTTTGGCGGTTTCTTGGAAATACCCGATGCGACGATGAAGCCTGGATAGGTTTCTCGTCTCATCAAACTCTAACCCTTTTTACTTTTGTTCTCTGTCTGACCTGCTTTTCCTCTTTCGCCAAACCGTTGGTGCTAGCCGAAAACTAGGGTGTTCATACAGCGGGTTTGGTTCTTTCCATCTTTTTTTGTTCGAACCCGTTGTTTGTCTTTTTCATGTTACCAACCACTATTGCTTACTTGGGAACGACTTACGACTACCATGAAGGAAGCAGGAAAGGGGACACACACACACACACACACATTTTGTTTGTGTACATAGCATAATACCACTTACCTGAGCTTGGTGTTGGTTATACTAAAGAAACTGAGTGTCTTTTCTGCTGTTCAATCTGTGATTCACTTTATTCTAGGAGGCGCTGAAGAATTGGCCAGGAAGAAGGACGGAAAGCAAGGAAATGAGTAATGGTGCACAAGCAGGGATGGGAACGGTGAATCAATATGTTCCTGAGCAACTGAATCTGGGAATCATCAATTCACCTGATGAACTGACACTCGGACACTCGGACACTGAGAGATCGTGTGACACCGAAATAATGTAGGTAGCTAGATGTAACCTTGTTTAATGGAGTGTAAGATTAAACTGGCAACTGTGGAAGGGTACCGCTGATGTGTCGTCTCAAAGCAGACTTCGAATGTTCCTCACATTGACGTCCATGTATTAATTGCCCGTCACGTTTCTATTCGACAGGACATGGCATGGCATGGCATACCGTCGTGATATACGCATAGGATGATGCAGCAGGTCGAGCAGGTACCGACCGACACTGCACAAATGACAAAAGCAATATGCACGGTACGTATGACGAAAGGCGTCTATTATTTAGCTTGTTACATAGCTCAATGCTTGAATTGGACAAGCTTCCTTAGCAGTGTCAATGAGGTGGGTTTAGGGTAGTTGGGATTGTTCAATGAAAGAGCGTTGAAGGGGGTGGTGATCTACGGGTGATCGACATGAGAATCTCGGAGGTAGGTCTGGTTGTTAGACAAAGACAAGCCTTTACGGGCGAGCATGCGGGAAAGGGGAGGTGGCTCACTAACATATGACATTGCTTTGGGGACGTAGATGGGAGGAGGTCAAGATCAAGATCATGATCTTGCCGTTGGCGGTGACCATGACCGGCAGAGACGGGAGACGGGAGACGGGAGACGATAGATGATTGCTACCTCATTTGAAGTCTTGAACAGCATTTGAGGATGTGAGACTGGCAAGTGAGGAAATACGTCGTCAACATCGATTCCTTCGTGACTTGGTCAATGGACGTCCGTCCGGTTTTGTTACCGTCCTCGTCCTTGATTGCGTAGAGGTGTTGATGCTGGTGATTGCTGCCTACCCTGCACTTCCTCAAGCCCACTTACTTCAAAGCGCCTCCTGAATTCACCGGAAGAGCTTAAATGATATCTCCCAAGCTACAAATTCTTTGGGAGAGGTCAGCCCACGGAAACGTGGAAATATGACCAAGCCAAAGCAGCCAATGCTGACCACTCTAACGCGGCCTTATGTCTTCTACCTCTTTCCTATACTTCGTCATGTATAATCTATACACACTGTCGCTGGTGCAGGACTCTTGCTCTAAATGAACGAGTGTCTCGAGAACTTTATGGTGAAAGTGTGTTCTTAGGAGACCGACCTATGGAGCACAGGACGACGAGATTGGAAGTGCCGCGTGAGGTGACCCAAGTTGACAAGAAGCCAATATGTGGTGGATATACGATAACAGAGAGAGTTAAAATCATTCCTTTGATCGGTACAGTCAAGCAAAGTGACCTGAACGTATCATGGCGATGACAACGGTCTGTCCTTTCACAGCACAACGCGGTGCTCGCTTCACTTTGTGTACCTGATTGATGATGACTGTGTGTTTCAATTAGGCCACCAGTCTCATTTTCCTATGTCGCTGCTACCACCAAAGATAATCATCACGTCGTCCGTCTCTCGCTCTTAGTTGTATCCTATGCCATACCGAGGTATTAGGTCCCATCGCCATCCCCTCCCTCCCTCTCCTTTAGAGATCGTCGGCAACGCGTTCATCCTTGGACATGCCGAAGTCGCTGTAAAGATGTCCCCAATAGTACGCGTGAACCCCAAGTGGTATCGTATCGTATTTACCCCATTAAAAAGCCATCTCGAAAACGCCATCCATTTCCTTTAGCCCCCTCTCTTCTCTTTCCATATCATATCCTTCTCCGTTGAAGTGTCGTCGTGAGCCTTAGTGACCTTCTCAACTTGACCGGCTCAACCTGACCCGACTCCTCAGCCTCCCTATGCTTCTCCTCGACTCCTATCCAATGCTTCTTCAACTGGCGTTCGACCGTATCCTAAACCACCTCCTAAAAGTTGTAGTAATTCGAGCTGTCAAACTCCGTGTTCTGTGTGGTGTCATCGCCGCCGCTGCTGAAGTAGAGATCGTTGAAATTGCTATTGTCGCCGCCTTCTCCGCCCAGGTCGTAGTTGATGTCCTCCATGTTGTCCATGCTTCCTGATCCAAGGTCGAAGATCTCCGCGTTGGACATGTTGGCGTCCTCTCCTCCTCCGTTGGTGTTGGCGTTCGGGGGTACCGGTGCTTGACCTACATTCGGAGCGGGTGGGTGTGGAGCATTCGTCATGTTGGCGGCTGGTTGGTGGTTCTGTTTCGGCCCTTCTCCCGGGGCAGGTGCCAGGGAGAAGGTCATGTTTGTGAAGAGAGCTTCGGCTCCTGGTGCTGGTACTGATGCTGGGGCTTTGGCTGTAGCGGGGGGTGGAGCGTGGAACGTCCCTTGAGGTCCCTGCGTTGGCTGAGGTGGTTGCGGCCCTGACACGGTCTGATGATGAGGTTGGTTCGGGATGTTGATGTGATTAGGCGGCGCGATTGGACCAGATCCCGGATTCCCACCATGAAGGACCGCAGACTTGGCGTTGTGAACTGGATGGGGGGCTTGGGGCGCTGCGCTTGCTGATCGAGGAGCCTGTGATGCTGCGGTTGCCGCATGTGCTAGTCGGGAGGCTTGACCTGGCGGGACCTTGGAATCCTTCTTCGGAGGTACACTAACAGGGCGCGCGGCGCCCGGCCGAGGCGAGTTCTTCGGATTGGTCTTCACCAGCTTCGGGCTCGGGGAGTGCTTGGCCACGGGAGAGGCGGTAAGATCGAGTCCCATATCAGGGATGGGAGCCACCGACTTGTTAAGAGGCGGCTTCCCGGGTTGAGGTTGAGGGGGGCTGGGACCTGGCGGAATACCGACGGTCATGGGGGCCATTGGAGCCATTGGAGCCTTGGGAGCCTTGGGTGCCATGGGCGCTGTTGGGGCCGAGAGAGACGCCGGTTTTGGTGCCGGTACCGGTACCGGCGGTGGATTGCGCTTTTCCCGTACTTTGTTCAGATCCCTCAAGATGGCGGCCTTGGCTTGCACCTTTTTCTTCAAGTTAGCCCGTAGCTCAGGGCAACCAATATCTTTCAAACTTACGATCTCGAACTCGACCTCATCTAAGGTGGCATTAAACTCCTCGATATTGTACTGGATACGGCTGGTATTCGCAGCAGGCAACTCGGCAACCGAGCTACCACCCTCCTTGGCAAGGACTTTGAAGATCTTGCCAGTTTCAACAAGCTACGACGGCGCATGTTAGCCCGACCCGATTGATTGTGAAGGTAGATCCAGTCCTGCTTACCACATTGTTGTACAGCCGATCCAACTCATCCAGGTTGAGGTTTGGCCTCGTGGGGGCTGGAGCGGTCATTTTGCAAGCCGATGATGCAAGCAAGCGAGGTTTAAGGGTGGGTGGTGTGTCGAAGTCTCTAGGAATGATAAAGATTGGCCGGGTTGTGGTTGAGTTTCCTTTTCTTTGCGGTAAAGCGGATGCACCTTGCTAGTCCGGAGGTGTGACAATGGTCACGGAACAAAGTTGGATGTTGGCGCATATAAATCTCCGGGGAATTGTTTGGTTATCGGGTGGGTGACAAAGGGGGTCCTCCGGGGTTTAGGGGAGTCCACGCATTAACAAATCCATATCTTGCTGTTGCTTTCCTAGCACAAAACCAGGGATGGAGTTCGCGATGGATATAGTTTCTGGACTTTTCAGGTTCGATGAAACTGGGACCTAGATTCTGATCCGGTGAAGGGTCAATATTTGGGTCAAGGCTCTGGGAGACTTGAAGTGAAGGTTGTCGAAGGTCGAAACTCGAGTAGAATTCTGGGGTTGAAGGGATACTGAACTGAACTGAACTTGAAATGGAAATGGAATCGGAAGAACGGCGGGTTGTTACGCGGTTCAGCAGATGATCGTAGCTGCTGGTAAATCTGGTTCTAGCATCGAAGTGCGCTGTCGGGTCCCTGGAACTCCATGCTCCGCGCGGTTGAGGCTCTTTGTGGGGTGAGAAGCGTGGGTGCCTTGACCGCCAGCGTGCTTCCCCGAGTTGGCCTTATCGTTTCCAGGTTGTTGGACGGGGATTCAGGGGACTGGCCCAGACAGAATCACACAGATCCAACAAAAAACGTTGCGATGGGACTGTCCGTTTAAGCTGGATTTTGACTACCAATTGTTGTCTATTCAGCGGTTACACAACTGGAGTTCAGTGAATCCACTCGATCCAACCCCACATACAAAGGCCGTACTGTTACTCGACTGGGTTTAGTTTAAGATGTCAATATCTGGAAATTATCAACGACCTATTGTGCGAAAAGGCGGCTGCCGTAAACCCCTTTGTTTGTCATTCTTGTCTGCCATGACCGCTCCCGAAGAAAGCATAATACTATTGGGACTTTGCTGGACAGATTGCCAACCCCTCATTCTCACAATGATGCGTCAAAGTGTTCCGCGATGACAGATCAGCCCAGCTGGCCGTTCCGTCGTGCTCCATTGGCACGTGTTGGGCGGACTGATGAGATGAAGGGCGAGTCGGGTCATGCATTGACTGCAAGTATCACCCCGGTCTACCCACGCGTTCGATCACCCTTTTGGAAAACCATCCAGAGGGAAGAACGACGCCAAATTTTTTGTCTTGATCTCTCATTAGAGTCTACAATATTAAGAGAGGACCTCGCAGCCCTGAAGAGGTACGTAGGGCTGGTAAATTCATCTTTCGTTCCAAGAACACGGGAGGGACAATGCCAGGGTCGGCACAGTCGCATGGATGATCTCGAGGGGAAAGGAAAGCTTCCAGTTGGAGAATGGAAGAGGGGACCAAACCGAAGGCCTGAACCTTGAACCTCTTGGGGATCAATATCTCTGTGGTTGGTTACTTTGGCGCCTTGCCTCCAGCCCCCGGGCCGTGAGCCAACAATCCTCCTCCCGACCCCTCCGTACAACATACTACTTCAGGATCAAATTGATGAGAATATGACAGACAATCCGCAAGTTGATGGACGGGAAGATTTATATTACGTATCTGTGGTATTAAGCTATAAACAGGTACCTACCTTAGCGCCTCGCTGGTCGATAGTCTCGATACGTCCCGTCGATACATCCGGCGTCCATTTACTCCACAGATGCCTTGATTAGAGGTAGTTCTCCAGACTGTTACACAGTCCTTGGAAAGCACAACACCAAAACACCCAAAACTTGCATGTTTCTTTCCCTTTGAAATTGCTAAGGCAGGTTGTAGAGTTACCAAAGAGTGGGGGTTGATGACGAGAACAGGCCCTAGAGGAAGACGGCGACGGCCAGTCTTTATACTCTGGTCGCTACGGATGCGAATCGAATCGCCCGTGATCCAACCTGGAGTTCGTCCCGCGCCCCTCCTCCGCTCTGCATTCTGTCCCCTTCCTCGCGTCTCAGTGGCTGCCTGCCCGCCAATCCCAGGAAGATGGCACCATCAAAAATCCCCGTCTTCCCCTCCTCGTCGCAACTTTCAGAGCTCCCCCGTCTCTCCCTCAGCTTCCACTTCTCCTTACCTTCTCCCACCGAACAACACCATCGCAGAAGAGTCCCAGACAAGTCATCTCTTCGGACAGGCTGTTGTGAATATCGGGGCTTCTCCTTTTGGTTTTACGGCCATTTTCCATCCCATCCCGTCTTTCTTGACTTTCTCACTGTTTGAATTCCCCTTCTTTTTAGTTCCCTTGTCGGTTACTTGACCGTCACCAACCCATCATCCCTGTCCTCCACCGTTCGCATCGAGCCATCCTCGTCCCCCGTCTCCGCATCGTCATCGTCCCTGGCTTCAGTTGCTGTCGCCGGCTCATTACGATCGCGTATCTAGGCTCTCGATACACGCCGGAATCTACAGCCATCTTCGAAGGTTCCATTGACGTTAGGTTCCTTCCATCTCGTGGGCGCAAAGTTTATCTGTGCACCCAACCGTCTTGTACTCTCAGCGAGTCCGCTCCACCGAACGGCCTCCGTTTGCCATCCCATCCTGCGCTACCGCATTGCGCCCGCCCGCCTATAATAACTAAAACGAGCTACAAGAACGTGGCCGAGACTCGAGCAATCTTCTTCCGTCGCATCTTTCGTTCTTGCAATAAGAAGTCTGCATCTCCCCGAGTTTGATCGGTTGGGTCTTTCTCCTTCTTGCAAGCTTCATTCAGTTTCCAGTCAAAGTCCGCTGGAAATCGCAACCGCAGACGCTCACGTACAATCACTGCCTCACCCCATCGTTTCAACAGCTGCTCATAGTGGGGCCTGCTTCGCCAAGGAGGGTCTCTGCGCTGCTCCTCCCCCAATCATCGCCATCGCCGCTCCTCGTTGATTTCTACCAGATCCTCGACCATTTTCCGACATGGCTGACGCTGGCCCGCCTCCCACCACCGGACCTCCTCAACCAAACGCAGGTGCGCCCGGCTACGAGAACGGTCAAAACAACAACTCGAATCCCGCACACATGCCTCCCCCGCCGCTGCACATCCCGCAAAACACCAATCCCATCCCTACGGCGATTACGTCGCCCATGGGTGGGAACGGTGATACGAGCGGCATCATGTCGCCCACCAGCGCCGGCAACCCCTTCGGCCGCCGCGCCGCCCCCGAGCCCAACAAGCGCGCTCTCTATGTTGGCGGCCTCGACCCCCGCGTCACCGAGGACGTCTTGAGACAGATTTTCGAGACTACTGGCCATGTCCAGAACGTCAAAATCATTCCCGACAAGAACGTGGGTAAACCTGGCTCCGAGCAGCCGCGAGTTAGTTCATTTTTCACATCGGCCTGTTGAGGCTGTCAGTTCGAGTCCTTGAGGCCCAAGACATTCCGCTAACAGTCCAGGATGCACAACAGCAAAAGGGCTACAACTACGGCTTCGTCGAGTATGATGACCCCGGTGCGGCTGAGCGTGCTATGCAGACGCTTAACGGTCGCCGTGTGCACCAATCCGTATGTCTTCCCCATTCTATACTACGATCCTTTGACCACGATCCCATAGCGCAGAGCTGACCACCAGAAACCATGCAGGAAATCCGTGTCAACTGGGCCTACCAGTCCAACAACCAGAACAAGGAGGATACTTCGGGCCACTTCCACATCTTTGTCGGCGATCTCTCCAACGAAGTCAACGACGAGGTTCTGCTTCAGGCTTTCTCTGCCTTTGGCTCCGTCTCCGAGGCTCGTGTCATGTGGGACATGAAGACCGGTCGCTCCCGCGGCTATGGCTTCGTTGCTTTCCGTGACCGCCCCGATGCTGAGAAGGCTCTGAGCTCTATGGATGGCGAATGGCTCGGATCTCGTGCCATCCGTTGCAACTGGGCCAACCAGAAGGGTCAGCCTTCGATTGCCCAACAGCAAGCCATGCAGCAGATGGGTCTTACTCCCACTACTCCTTATGGACACCACCACTTCCCTACCCACGGAGTTCACAGTTATGACATGATCGTCGCCCAGACCCCTGCCTGGCAGACGACCTGCTATGTCGGCAACTTGACCCCTTACACCACTCAGAACGACCTCGTGCCTCTTTTCCAGAACTTCGGCTACGTTGTCGAGTCTCGTTTCCAGGCCGACCGCGGCTTTGCGTTCATCAAGATGGATACTCATGAGAACGCTGCCATGGCGATCTGCCAGCTTAACGGGTATCAGGTCAATGGTCGGCCTTTGAAGTGCAGCGTAAGTGATTTCCCTTGATCTCGGACGGGGACATTATTGACTTTTCATGCGTAGTGGGGCAAGGACAAGACGCCCAACCCTCAACAGTTCGACCCCAACCAGCCCTACAGTCCTCAGAGTGCCCAGACACCTGGTTACCCCGGCACTCCCTCGACCTACTTTAACAACTATGGCAGTGAGTCTTGACTCGGTGAACTGGTTCCTACATGTCAGCCGCTAACGCACAAAGTAGACTCCTACCCAGGCCAGCAAGGTAACTACAACGGCCCTCAGGCTCAGTCACCTGCCGGCTACGGCTCCCAGATGGGTTACAACGGCCCGCCGAGCGCTGGTGGTTATGGCCGTGGTCAGCCCGGTCCCAACGCCCAGTGGAACCAGCCGTCCCCAGCCCAGAACTTTGGCAATGGGTTTGGTGGTTACCAGGGCTAGAAGCCTAAAAGGCTTGGTGAGCAGTTGCTTGCTAGCGGTCACAGCGTGGGCCACGTCTCTTTTCCGTACTATTGAAACGCCTTTGCTATGTGGTGGAAAAGTTAATGGCTTTCTCAGCTCCAACTAGAGGTGGGAGGCTTTGCGGCTGCATTCAAGTTGGGGTGGTTCTTTTTCACACGTCCAGGATGGAGAGAAGCTCTCGCTCAAGTCCGGTTGATCAAGGACTGGATTTTGGAACTGGAAGTCATTTTGTTGGGAATTTGGGAGCCTGCCTTCTTTATTTCTCTGGTCTCATGTATCACTCACTGCTCTTCCTTTTTTCTTTTATCTCTCACCTGTCAAGTTTCGAATGCGTTTTCTTTCTCGCGCTTTCTTCTCTCTATCTTCGTTTCTCTTGAGTGATTCCCACGGGCCAATGGTTCTTTCTGCAAGTTCTTCTCCGTTTGGGTTTTGTGTAATTTCCTTCGGTTTTCTCTCCTCTTTTCTTAAGCTACGATCGAAACGTCTTATCTTACTCTACTCTCTTAAGTTTGCTAGGTCTTTCTCTCTCGTCTTCCTGATGATATGTTTCCAAAATGTTTCCAGCGCTGGATACCGGATTTCACTCAAGTTAAGTCAGTTCGAGGTTTTTACCAGAATGCATTACGACAAGATTTCTTCTTCCCTTTGGCGGCATTTCAACTTCGTCTCCTTCAGCATTTCATCTCGATGTGTACGCGAGATTCAAGGCGGCATCTTTTCTTCCGATATACCCATTGCGCGTTTCCTACCACTTTGTACTCGTGGGCCTTTGGATGTTTCTTTACAGATACCCATTTTCCACGTTGCGTTTTCCGGTATGCGATTTCATCTCACGTAGCATCATGTCCTTCAAAATGTACGCTATACCCTTGAAGGACTTGAGTAAATAAAGAGGCGGACTTCTACTGGCTCGTACACGGAGTTGGCCATCAAGAAGCCTATCAGTCAAGGTTTAGAGCTCTTGGTCTCGATCCAGGTGTCGTTGGTAACCACCGGCAGGGACGGTTGGTTTGTTATAAGACGGAAGATGGAGTCGGAGATCGTCCGATCATAACGAGACCTAAATTCCGTATGCCACGCGTGGAAATCAGGCAATAGGTAAAAGGGGCGGGTCGAGACGGCAAGGGCAAAGCCATTCCGTTCCTTTTGGGGTCTCGCACGTGGGTTTTGACCATGTGGTGATATCGGTACAGACTGATGTCCTGCTGAGCACGCGGCTGTGGTTCATGTCTTACGGTTCACCTTTAGCCATTAGCTTTGCCTGCATCTGAAGGCAAACATTCAAGAACTAACCCGATAGTTACCTGAACACTCCTCCATGAAGTTGGACCGGCAAACCAAGGACCTTCAATTTGTTTATTTCCGATGAATAGCCCAGAGGAGCTGAGCGCTTCCAACTGAACAAGCCCCGGAGGGATGTGATGCAACCATGGGCGCTTACCAGGGTTAGGGTTGTTACTGGTCGTGGATGTCGCATCCTTTCTGGGCCTTTGGACAGCAACAAGTTGATGCCCAATCCCAATCGATCCATGAACCGAATGATCAACCATCCATGCCAATCTCACATGTTACACGCAATGCGCGAAATCTCAATATGTCGGGGAGAAGAACTGAGGTAATATCGTTTTGGGTTGTCTTGACCATTTTGTCTCGTCCCATATGGATGGATATGGTTGATGTAAATTGGTAATGTGGTTGAAACGAGACATATGATGGACCAGGAACGGTGACCAGAGGGGAGCTGGGCTGGGGAAGAATTGATGGGGGGTGCGTACCTCTACAATCCCGTAGAGTATTTAGTACTCGGAAAACCTCATAAAGTATTGTCAAAAGGGAATCTAAAACGTCTCGATCGGGTCAGGAAGGCAGCGGGTTCCCACCTCCAGCTCGTCAGAAGCGGTGCGGGCGTTTGAAAGAGTCATTGGTCGGTCCACGCGGCCACAACCAAGCTCATATGACATGCGCATTTATCGTTCCTGATGGTGTAGGGCATTTGCTTGCGAGAGTTGAGGTGAGTAGAACTGTCAACCTCCCCAACGGGTAAACTTGTTGGTGCAGTTGGTGGTCATGTCGGTGGTTGTTTGGTTTGTTCGAGTGGTGAAGCGTCGAAGCGGTATAACAAGTCTGATAATCATGGACGATAGCGTCGTCGTCATCGTCGGGGATATTCACGAGGATTCCAGTCCATCGGGTGGGTTCACTTCAAAACGAACAATCAACCCCTGCCACTACCTAACCTAATCTCTTTTTTTAACAGGACGGATGAATATCGCGGGGTCGTCGTGAACGTGAAAGGTGAGGAGAGGAGCTGAATGAGGAGGGACTGCTGATCGCTTGTGAACAAGATGTGGACGAGCCTGGTGGCTGCTTTGCAGTGTGGCCCTCTGGCACCAACGGTGTTTGACACCGTGACAGCTTCTCGACCGCATCCCTTTTGCGGTTTGTATTTCGGTTTATTTCCATTCCTTCGCACCTGTTGGGTGCTTCATGGTTTTTCAAGTTGGTGATAATCGGACAAAAAGCTTGGCGCACGTTATCGTCGGCCCTTGGAGCTGCAAACAACCAAGGAAGAACGGGCCACTGGAGATCATTCATAATACCGGTCATTGACACATTCAGAGAAAGTGGGGAGGAGATGGATTGGCAGTCTCCAGAAGGTGGCGTTTTGACTCGGCGTGTTGTGACAGGCGTTCATGGTTTGCTGGTGGTGTTGGTGTTAGTGGCTACTATACTTTAGTACTACCGGCCTAACGTACCTGACATTGGACCAGGATGTTACACCTCGCAACCGCTTGCGCTGCACTCAGCCCAGCTGCAACGCCCACAACGAGCGATCCTTCTCAAACTGGAAAGACACAAGACAAGGTGCACATGAAGCGCGGACGGTTCGAACAATCAATCAGGCCAGGCCAGGAACAGGCTATCTGCACTGCATCTGTTGCATCCATTGAAGGGCAATTCCAATTCCTGGACAGTTTTAACAGTGAACTTGAAGGCTCTCGACGCGGGAGTCTCGAACTTCAGCGCCGTCGTCGTCGTCGTCGTCAGAACTAAGGGCTCCATTTGACATGACACTGGAGCCAGACTCTCACCAACCATTTCATGCATACCTCACCATAACGACGGGAATCCTTGAATAGACACAGAAATCCACTGACTATCACGAGCAATCGGAACAACCGCCTACGGATCGGTCTCAGCCCAAGTCCCGTTGTTTCTGCACATGGTTGCGAACGACTGCGATTTCCCTGCCGTACTCTGCGTAGGTCCAGCCTTTTCGGGCGTGACTGCTTGCTCACTGCCTCGTCCTCGTCCTCGTCTTCCTCCTGCATTCTCCGACGTATCTCCTTCTATCGTACAGCTGGAGAAGCAAGCGAGGCTCATTTCACTGGTGTCTCTCCCTCCTACCTGCGACCTACCTTTCCAACTGAACCCTGCCCGTGTCCGGCCCGGACAGCCAACGGCCCCAAACCCTCTTTCCCGTCTCTTTCTGCCCGTCCGTCTCAGTCGTCCAACCCAACGCACGCGTCTAATCCACCAGACACAGACAGCTTTACTGCCCGAGCTGAAAGGAAGGACATTTCGGACCTCGACTTTTTAGTTACCAGGGATTATTACTTGGCATTCCTACCGGAGAGAGTAGGTTTATTCGCAGCGCCTTGGCACCGCTTGGCCCGCTTTGCTCCTTGCGCTTTGCCCTCTCCCTCACCTTACCTGCCAGCTAGGTACAGAGTCTAGGTAGCCACCACCCACTGCAGTCACTGCACCACCCAAGCAGGCAGTCCGCGGCCCGCACCTCCATCATCAGGCCCACACTTGTGACCTGCCACCAGCCAGCGACCCGAGTCCGTCGTCTTCGAAAGCTTCAAACCTCCCTCTCCTCCCCCTCTCGCGACGACAACAGAGTCCACTGCCAAACCACACCAAACAACAGCCCCGAGTCCGTTCTGCGAGCTGGCCTTCGCCCTGCCAGCAGCCATGGAGCAGCAATGGCAACCATACTCCGACTCTGCCGCCAGCGGCTCGTCCAGGAGATACAACAACGGCTCCGGCCAAATGTCCATGTCCCCCAGAGACTACACCAACAACGGCCCGGTCCAGGCGCAGCAGCAGCCGCCGGCCGGATTCAAGTATGATCCGTACCAGGCCGGCCTGAACCCAAGCGCGCAACCACAGTCCTCCTCAATTTCCCCAATGACGTCGTCCCAGTCGCGCGACGCCAACGGGGACGTCGCCATGCAGGATGCCCATGATCCATACTCGTCCCAGAACCCTACCATCAAGTACCCCCTGAGGCCGCATCACTCCCTCTCCGGTGGTCGCCCGGCCAGCCTCAGTACGTCCCAAGAGCCATCTGCTGCCGCGCAGCGATACTCGCCCATGGAAGCTCTCTCGCCTGCCTCCCAATACCCCAAGGGAAGCCAATTCTCCCCCGCCCAACGTCAATCCCCTACGCGACCGACCGAATATGCCCCGCCGCAACCACAACAGCAGCAACAGCAACAGAACCCCTACTACTCCAGCCGTCAAGCATCCCAACAGCTTCCCCCCATCAACCCATACGCACCCGCTCAACTCGACCACAGCTATCCAAACTCGGCCGTCAGCTCTACCATGGACGGCTCTTATATGGACCCCAAGTCGCCGCCAAGGCGCATGAACTCTCAGTCGCAACAGATGCCCATGCCCGATAAGACCCCAGTCCCCGAGTTTAGGAAAATACGAGGACCCCAGGACCTACGACCAAAGATTAATAAGCAACCGGCTCATCGACGAGCTAACCCGGAAGGCGGCTTCATCAGTGTATGTACAAGTTGTGTGAGGAATGGCTTTGGGCAGCTTGCTAACGAACCACGGTAGCCCCTCCAAGCGCTAACAGTTCACCTTCCTGCCACTTACCGAATATGCAACCCCGGCTTCAAGTACGAGTCGTCTAGGAACCCTCGGCGCGTTCTTACCAAGCCTAGCAAGGGAGTGAAGAACGACGGCTATGATAATGAGGACAGCGATTATATCCTCTATGTAAACGATATCCTGGGCTCGGAGGAGGCTGGTCATAAGTATGTTGCTGCCCACCACGAGTCGAGAAGCAGTCACTCACATGATCGTACCAGGAACCGCTACCTGATTCTCGACGTCCTTGGCCAGGGTACCTTTGGCCAGGTCGTAAAATGCCAGAACCTGAAAACACAAGAAGTCGTTGCGGTCAAGGTTATCAAGAACCGAACAGCTTACTTCAATCAGAGCATGATGGAAGTGTCTGTTTTGGATTTGGTTTGTTCCCCGCCTTGTTGACTTGTGTGCGACGCGCGCTAACCTCCCTTTCAGCTCAATACAAAGCTCGACAAGAATGACGACCACCATCTTTTACGTCTAAAAGATACCTTCATTCATCGGCAACACTTGTGCTTGGTATTCGAGTTGCTTAGTGTCAACTTATACGAGCTTATCAAGCAAAACCAATTCCGAGGCTTGAGCACGACACTGGTCCGCGTCTTTGCGCAGCAGCTGCTGAATGGGCTTTCCCTGCTCAACAAGGCGAGACTGATCCATTGCGACCTGAAACCCGAGAACATTCTTCTGAAAAACCTCGAGAGCCCAATCATCAAGATTATCGATTTCGGATCCGCTTGCGACGAACGGCAGACTGTCTATACGTACATCCAGTCCAGATTCTACCGATCACCTGAGGTGTTGCTTGGTTTGCCTTACTCTTCGGCCATTGATATGTGGTCTTTGGGATGCATTGTGGTCGAGCTATTCCTGGGTCTTCCCCTCTTCCCCGGTTCTTCCGAGTACAACCAGGTGTCACGAATTGTCGAGATGCTAGGAAATCCTCCAAACTGGATGATCGAGATGGGCAAGCAGGCAGGAGAGTTCTTCGAGAAGAGGCAAGATGAATTCGGCAGGAAAACTTACCATCTGAAGTCTATGGAGCAATACTCTCGGGAGCATGGCACGAAGGAACAACCTAGCAAGAAGTACTTCCAGGCCAGCACGCTGCCCGAGATTATCAAGACGTACCCGATGCCGAGGAAGAACATGAAGCAGTCGGAGATCGATCGAGGTGAGTTAAGCGTATTCGCTGTCTCTGTGCTCTGAAAACTGACAACGTCCTAGAAATGAACAACCGTATCGCATTCATCGATTTCGTTAGGGGTCTATTGACGATCAATCCGTTGGAAAGATGGTCGCCTCAACAAGCGAAGCTACATCCTTTCATCACCCAGTCCAAGTTCACTGGACCATTTGTGCCGCCGATGAACCTCAAGTCAAGTTCGCTCAACAGATCACCAGCCCCAGGAACTCAACAGCAAATACAGGCCGAGGCGTTCAGCAAGCAAAAGGCGCAACAAGCCCAAGCCAACGCCATTGCCGCAAACCAAGCCCAAAACCCTTACGGGTCGATGGCCACTGGACAGCAGTATCCCCAGCAGGCCCATGCGCAACCGCCGCCCTTGTATTCCACACCCAACAACATGTACGCTCCTAGCGGCAGCAGCAGTCACGCTAGCGCGCCTCCTCCATACGGCTCTCAGCAAGGCGCATACCCTCAACAAGGCATGCCCCAACAACCGCAGCAGCAGGTACCGCAAGTACAGATGCCTCCAGCGAACTACTCGGGTGTGTCCCAGTCGAGTCTGTACGCCCAGCAACAAGCGGCAGCGGCGGCCCGCCAGAGGCAACGGTCTTCGACAATGGAGCAGCAGCAAAGTGGTATTCCCGTGTCCATCCAGCGCGTCGCGAGCCATCTCGACCCCACCCAGCCCATCCGTCTGCAGCCCAGTCCGGCCTACTACCCGCCGCCACCAGACGGTCTCGCGGGAATGGACTCGCAGCCAAGCCAGAGGATGCCGAGGAGGGGAAGCCGCGCTCAGCAGTCTGGACGGGCCCAAGGTAACAACCGCGACTTCATCAGGAACTTGGAGGAGAGAACGTTGGAGGAAGGGTTTATGGGTGGTAGCGGTGGTGGTGGAGGTCAGGGTCAAAGTCCATGGCATTAAGCATAGAGTTGATGGGTCAGGGGAGGTGGTTTGTAGTTGGTAGGGAAGCGGGTTTTTCGTTGTAGTTGTTGTACCATTCAGTTTGTACTCACAGATACGATACCTCTTCTTTATTTTTTTTTACCGAAAAATTGTCATTACGCATTGTCACTTTTGTTGGAAGGGCAGTTCTGTTTGTTTTGCCGAGCGGAACTGAATGGGGAATGGGGATGGGGAAAGGGGGAGGAGGAATGGTGAAGAGTGGAGAAAGTTAGGGAGCAGAGAGCAGAAAGCAGAGCAGAGCAGAGGACGGCAGAGCAGGATTTATAGAAAGAAAGAAGTAACTGACATGCTATGCTGCGGGCGCGCGAAGGTTTTCCGTCTTCTATTGATGATGTGCCGAACTGTGCTTTATGCATTGTCTCTAAGGGAGTCTCTAAGGGAGCGTTCACATAAGGGCGAGAGGGAAAAGCGTCCTGCCTGCGTTATTATTATTGAGCTTTCAAGCATCAACTATTGATGTTGTTATCCTATCACTCCTGCCTCTATGCAGTTCATTGCCTTCTTTCCGTCAGCTATGGTACAAACAAGTACAAGGGTTCTATCATGATACCACGCATATCGTATTGCGGTACCCGAAGTCTGAAGTAGTCTGAATGACGGTGGGTAGGTAGGTGGTCAGTCGATTAACAACACCAACCAGTCCGTAAACCTCAGCAGCTACTAACTACTCCTACGAGAAAAGAAGTACAATAAGGACACCGAACAAAACATTTCTGACCATTGATATATGTCGGTCCAAACGAATCAAGGTAATCAGTAGAAACATATGTGGATATATATATATACAGCGGATGAACATCCATCCCACATTCATCATCCAGAACTAACTTACAACAACCTATCAACAACTCATCCAGCAACTACTTGGACAACAACCCCATCCATCCATTTACCAGGTGGATTTCCTGAAGCCGCTGTTGTTGCCCCAGTTATCCTCCTGGCTATTGTTCCTCTCCCATTTATTTCCCTGACTCTCTCTCGACCATGACGACGAGCTGTTGTTGTTACTCTGCGGCTGCTGCCTGGGGAGGCTCCTCCTCTCTTCCCTCCTCAACTTGATCCTCAAATACTTCGTCTTGTCTCTGGGGGGGTAGCGACTTGTCGTTATTTCTTCCCATTCGTCGTCCTCGTCGTCTTCTTCCTCTTCCTCTTTGGGTCGCTGTGCTTGCTCCTTCTCAAACTTTGCCTTGGCGGCAGTCGCATCCGCCTCCTCCTTCTTCTTGTTAAGATTCCTCTCAAACTCGTTAGGCTTCGGCTGACCAAACTCATAGTTTTCCTCGCTCGCCCTTTGTGTTTCTTCACGTTTCTTCAACCCCGCCTCCCCATACCGCTCCACCATCTTCTCCCTCCACTTACCCATCATATCCCCATCCTTGGCCACGTACCGCTCCACCATATTCTGCAAAATCACCCTCCGCTGCTTCAGCACTTTGAGGACTGCGTCGTCGGGACACATGCTATTCAACATGACCTTATCCAGCGCGCTAATCATCCGTCGAGCCGTGACCACGCACTCGGACATGTGCGCTCTTGTAGCCTTCCACGCGTCTTCCGGGCTCTGGGCTTGTACCCGACTGCCGATCGGGTACGAGTATTGGTTTACCATGATCCGATACGGTTGCCACATTTCGTCTAGGGCCAGGATGATTTGTTTGCCCATTGCCTGGCGGGACCCCAAGGGGTCGGTTTCGGCCATCTTCTTGATGTGTCGGAAATTTCCCTGGGCCGATTGGAGGAAGAGACGCATGGCGATGGCGTCCGGATAGCGGGTCTTCTTGGTCATTACATCAAAAATGGTGCAGGCGTGCGGGGAAAAGGCGTGCGGGTTCAGCTCGTCGCGGATGCATGTCGTGAAGGCGGTCTTGAGTATCATGGGCGTGATGAACTCGGCGGGCATGGACTGGAGGACTGCCGCGGTGGCGGCGGAGCCACGGCCGATTTGGAGGACGCGTAAGTAGCGGAAGTAGTTGTCCTTGTCTGGCTTGATGGAGTAGGGCGGGGAGGTGAGCAGGTCCCAGTACTTTTGGGCGAGGGAGGTGCGGCGCGTGTTGGAGAGGACGGAGAGGATTAGGGAGAGGGTGTTGTTGCCTGGTTTGGCGTAGAGGCTGGGGCTGGTGGTGATGGATTTGGGTTTCCTCTCGAATTTGGGTGTCTTCTCAGCCTTGGCCTCCTTGACCGCATCGGTAGATTGGACGGTCGGTGTTTCTGTTGGTGTTGTTTGTGGTGCTTCTGAGGGGGCGGCTTCTGGAGAGGCTGCTTCGGATGAGACCACTGACGTGGCGGTTGTGTCTACGGCCTTAGCGGTCACTTCGGCAGCTGCCTTCTCGCCAGCATGGAATCGGGGGAGCTGCATGGTCGAGGAGAGAAGCTCAAAAACTCTCTCGTTGTCTTCCTTGGTACCCAGGGTCAGGAGCCTTCCAAAGGAACAAACTATTTCCTCATCGATCATGAGGTTGGCCTTCTTCCATTGACGCTGTACATCTTCCCATATTTGCAAGCCCCTGTCGATAGCCTCTTTTTTCTCCCGGTTGATATCTTCTTGGTCGCGCTGCATCGGATCCCGATCGAGTGACAGTCGTGGGTTGAATTGGGCGCGAAGGGCGTTGAAGATGATTGTATAGGTCAGGTTGTCGGGCTTGCGTGTGCTTTCGTTGGCTGTTTGTACTGTCGTGAACATGCTGTCCAGGTCGCCGGCGCGGGCACATGTCTCGAGGACGGCGTTAAGATGGATCGTGGTTGGCTTGACGCGCTCATTCCTGAGCAAGCTGTGGTAGATCTTGATGGCTTCTGCCACTGCCTGCTTTGGGTGTTCGCTCATGGCGCAGCCTCGGAAGATAATGGTGTAAGTCCTGGCGTCTGGAACCTGGGCGCGCTTCTTCATCTCGTTGTAGATCTTGATGGCGGCAGATAGACGCTTGTTCTTCATGTGGTAGTCGATCAGATGGTTCCACGAGACCTGGACCTTTGCGCTCTTGCTGGCCTTGCGGGTGAGAACAAGGGCCTCCTCGTATTTTCCTTTGTCGAGAGTCAACTTGACCTGCTTCTCAATGTGGAAGGGATCCTTGAAATGCTTGAGTTGTAGGGCCGCACTGCGCTCCAGCTTCTTCCGCTGCTCCTCGCTCAAGTCTCTCCTTTTCCCATTCTTTTCCGACCAGTCTCCATCTTCTTCCCCTTCCGGCGCTTCGAGATCGAGGGTAACGGAGGGATCGGCGGCAGTCTTAGGCTTGAGGGCGGGCAAGTGGTAGAATCGGAGGGCGGTCGTGGACTGGCTTGGTGTAAGTGCGCCTAGCCTTGGGAGCCTTGGGAGGGGCGCATTTATCCTAGCCAAAGCTCCAGGAGCTAGGCCTTTCCGCAGACAAGCCCGGCAGACAAACATGGTTGCGGGCAACCGAGTCTGTCCTTATATGTTTCGTATCTTCTTCTTCTGCAAGGTACGGGCCGAAGTACCTGTGTTGGTAATGGTCGGTTGGTGGGGTATCTAGATCGTCGACTTTCCGTGATGAGTTCCCTGCTCTTCTAAACAATTTCCGGAGAAGATGGCGGCGTAATATGGGCAGTTATAGCCCGGGAAGGAATCGGTATTGCTATGTTACTGCGGCGGGCGCACAATTGGACTCTGGACGGATGGTCAACACAAGTTAGGATGACATTTCGAAATTTTGGAGACTGATCTACAAAAATGCCTGCCGCAGCCACTTCGGTTTTGGAGACGGTGGGTCTGGGGTCGTCATCAGGTACCTGACAGGGGCCCCGTTGCTGAAAGGTACAAGGCTCGGTACGTGCCTTTTCTTATCCGCTTAGGCCAAAGGAACGGGACTGCCCCACCTCTTAAACACGACCGTGACGGGGACAAGGGTTCGCGCTTACAGTTTACAGTAAAGTACGCGATGAGTAACGAAACTAAGCGCGTCTTTCTTTTGTTACTGGAGGGGACCAATTGAACCCTGTAATCCCACTATAACTTCTTCTCTGTCACTAACACTACCACATCACGGTGGCTCCGTCGATATTCCCTTCAGAGTGTTCGCCTGGTGCTCCTCTGTTGTCTCGTTTTCTATCCAATCTCCAATCCTAAAGGCAACATCACAAGGGCATGCCAAAATGTCCAGACGAGTAGCCAAGCGCGACAAGTTCGCTGAGCTGCGCGAACTGCGCCAGTCCGGCAAGAAGAAGTCCTACGACGTCGGCGGGGTCGATGAGCTCTACGAAGAAGTCGACGAGAACCAGTACAAGAAGATTGTCAGAGACCGCTTGAACGAGGATGATTTCGTGGTTGACGACAACGGCGAGGGTTACGCCGACGACGGCCGCGAAGAATGGGACCGCCTCCCCCAGTACCACAGTGACAGCGAGGAGGAATTAGGCCTACCCGGCAGCAAGCCGCGCAAGTGTGAGCAGATCAAGACGTTGCAAGCCGATATTGGGAGGAGTTTGTAAAGCAGTCAGGTTCTGATGCTGACCCTCGTGCTTCCCCCTCATAGCCAAGAAACAAAAGGAACAAGAAGATGCGAAACGAGATGCCAACGACAGAGACATCACCGAATACTTCACGAAAGGCGCCGCCAAAGCCCCACCAAAACAAAAGGTCATCAAAACCGAAGAAGATGACAAGTTCCTGGAAGACCTCCTCGGCGAGGTCACCGCAAACATCCCCGCCCCGGTCACGCGAGTAACCAAGAAGAGAGAACGATCAGTCGAGAGGAGGAAAGTCCGGGTGCTCTCCCCGGTACGGGAACCTCGCCCACCCATGGCAAAGAGAGCCAAGACAGTCGACGATCGGGCATCATCCCCAGCAGGAGACGACGACCTTTTACCAGACGACGACTACCTGCCTGCTATGGACGACGAACCTGCGCCAGTTTCCGATTATCTTATGAGCGACGCCGTCTTGCCCTCTTCACCGGCCGCAAAAGTAGCAACACGGAGGACGTTCGGTAGGCCGGAACCCAAAAAGAACGAGGATGATGAGGACGAAGATGAGGACATGATGGAGGTTGCCCATACTGGAGCGGTAACAGCCGCCAGTGTCAACATATCAGCATCCCGTCAAATCAAAAAGATCCTCAAGACAGATCCCGTACCGGCCAGTTCGTCACCCGCCAGGGCGCCAGCACCGGAAGTCGACGCTGCTTCCTGGAACGAGATCAACCAGAAGCTCAACGTCGTATCCATGTCACAAAGCGAGGGCAGGAGTGTTGGCAAGATCGACTACAAGGACGCTATCGAAGAAGACGGCAGCTTGAACATGTTCTGGACAGACTACACAGAGGTCAACGGCAGTTTATGCTTGTTTGGCAAGGTCCTAAACAAGAAGACCAAAACCTACGTCAGCTGCTTTGTCAAGGTTGACAACATTCTCCGGAAACTCTTCTTCCTGCCGCGCAAGTACCGTGTGCGAGGTGGCCAGGAGACGACAGAAGAGGTGGAAATGATGGACGTCTACAACGAGGTCGATGAAATCATGACCAAAATGAATGTCGGCATGCACAAGATCAAGGCTTGCACCCGCAAGTACGCATTCGAGCTTACAGATGTTCCTAAGGAGGGCCAGTATTTGAAGCTCTTCTATCCATATACCAAGCCTGCGATGGAACCCACCCACAAAGGCGAAACCTTCTCCCACGTCTTTGGTACTAATACCGCTCTGTTCGAGCAATTTGTGCTCTGGAAGAACATTATGGGCCCCTGCTGGCTCAAGATTGAGGATGCCGACTTCACTTCCTTGAGGAATGCTTCTCACTGCAAGCTGGAGGTCCTGGTGGAACATCCCAACATGGTGTCGGTTCCAGACAACGCCGAGAGCATCGAGCCCCCTCCTTTGACGCTGTTGAGTCTGGCTATGCGCACAGCATTTAATCCCAAGGATAACAAGCAGGAGATTCTCGCGGTCAGCGGGAGAGTCTACTTCGATGTGTCGCTCAGTGACACCACTCCCGCAGACAAGCTTGCTTCTCGTAGTTTCACCGCCGTTAGACCTTACGGTAGCGCATTCCCTATCGGCTTGGAGACGCTTGCCAAGGAAAGGAACAGAGGTGTGCTCAAGCTCTTCAAGCAGGAACACGAGATCCTGAATTTCTTGCTTGCACAGATCGATGTTGTCGATCCAGATGTTATCCTTGGCCACCAGCTGGAAGGTGTTGACTACAGCATCTTGCTGAACCGGTTGCACGAGAAAAAGACACACCAATGGTCTCGTCTGGGTAGACTCAGGCGCTCTCAGTGGCCCTCATCCATTGTCAAGATGGGTGGCAATGTATTTGCGGAACGCCAGATAATGTCTGGCCGTCTGCTATGCGATCTTGCCAACGATGCCGGTAAATCAGTGATGACCAAGTGCCAGACCTGGAGCTTGACTGAAATGTGCAGCTTATATCTGGGCGGCGAAAGTCGTAGGAGGGATATTGACAACGAAGTCGCCCTGAAGACGTGGGCTAACGCTGACAAGCATGGCTTGATGGACTACATCTCCCATGCCGAGACTGATACTTACTTCATCGCGGCTCTTACACTGAGGACTCAGATTCTGCCTCTTACCAAGGTTCTCACCAATCTGGCTGGTAACTCGTGGGCAAGAACACTCACTGGTACGCGTGCCGAGCGGAACGAGTACATTTTGCTTCACGAATTCCACCGCAACAAGTATGTCGTCCCGGATAAACAGACCTTCAAGGGCCGCCAACGCATTGAAGAGGAAAATGCAGAAGAGGAAGGCGGAGAAGGAGGAAAGAAGAAGGACAAATACAAGGGTGGTTTGGTTTTCGAGCCAGAAAAGGGTCTTTATGACAAGTTCGTTCTTGTCATGGACTTCAACTCCCTGTACCCTTCCATCATCCAAGAGTACAACATCTGCTTTACTACAGTTGATCGAACATCACTGGTAAGTCAAAGTCCTTCCTTTGATGACGCCACAAGCTAATGCATAGCAGTCCGAGGACGACGATGCTGTCCCCGAGGTTCCCAAGGAGCAGGCACAGGGCATTCTCCCCAAGCTGATTGCTACACTCGTTAGCCGGCGTAGACAGGTCAAGTCCCTGATGAAAGACAAGAATGCCACGCCTGAAGAGCTCGCCACCTGGGATATCAAGCAGCTCGCCTTGAAGTTGACTGCCAACTCCATGTACGGCTGTCTTGGTTATACCAAGTCGCGCTTCTACGCCCGTCCTCTTGCCGTACTCACTACCTACAAGGGTCGTGAGATCCTACGGAGCACCAAGGAACTAGCGGAGAGCAACTCGCTCCAGGTCATCTACGGTGACACGGATTCCGTCATGATCAATGCCAACAAGGACAACGTCGCTGACGCCCTGCGCGTCGGCCACGAGTTCAAGAAGGCCGTCAACGAGCGGTACCGCCTCCTCGAGATCGATATAGACAATGTCTTTAGACGCATCCTCCTCCAAGCCAAGAAGAAGTATGCTGCTATCAACATGGTCGAGGTCAACGGCAAGTGGGTTGAGAAGATGGAAGTCAAGGGTCTCGACATGAAGCGTCGTGAGTACTGCGGGTTGTCCAAGGAGATCTCCAACCGTCTCCTCACCGAGATCCTCTCGGGTGACGATACTGAGGTGTCCGTCCAACGCATCCACGAGTACCTTCGTGACATATCTGCCAAGATGCGCGAGGGTGCCGTCCCTGTGCAGAAGTACATTATCTTGACGCAGCTCGGTAAGGCACCCAAGGATTATCCCAATGCCGACTCGATGCCGCAGGTCCAAGTCGCCCTTCGCGAGTTGGCCAAGGGCAAGACCATCCGCAAGGGCGATGTCATCTCGTACATCATCACGGGCGACAGCAAGACCACCTCGGAGCCCGTCGCCAAGCGTGCCTACACCCCTCAAGACGTGCTCAAGGCCGAATCTGGTCTGTCTCCGGACGTAGAATGGTACATCGGCAAGCAAATTTTCCCTCCAGTCGAGCGTCTCTGCGCCAACATTGTCGGCACATCAACTTCCCAACTCGCAGAAAACCTTGGCCTCGATGTCCGGCGCTACTCTTCCAACACCAATAACAACTCTTCGGGCCCGCAAGACCTTGAAATCCACCCCCTCGAGTCCCAAATCCCCGACTCCCTCCGCTTCCAGTCCTGCGCCCGTCTCCCCCTCCGCTGTCGCCGGTGCAAGACCTCTCACGCCTTCGAGGGCCTCGCCTCCCCATCATCCGTCAACAACGTCACCCCCTCGGGCATCCAATGCCCCTCGTGCCAATACGTTCTCCCCACGCTCAGCGTCGTCGCCCAAGTCGAAGCCGCCGTCCGCGCTCAAACGGCGCGCTACTACGAAGGCTGGCTCGTCTGCGACGACTCCTCGTGCGGCAACCGCACCCGTCAGATCTCCGTCTACGGCACCCGCTGTTTGGGGTCCAAGGGTCTGGCGCGCGGCGAGTGCGGCGGGCGCATGCGGTACGAGTACAGTGAAAGGGATATCTACAACCAGCTGGTGTACTTTGCCAGTCTGTGGGACGTCGATAAGGCGAAGAGCAAGGCGAAGGAGAGCAATGATGAAGATGCGGATGCTGCTAAGCTAAGTGCGGAGGAGAAGGAGAGGGTGGCCATCATGGCGGAACATAATCGTGTTAGGTTTGGGACGGTGAAGGGCGTGGTGGAAAGGTATTTGGATAAGTGTGGACGGAGGTGGGTGGCTATGGATACGCTTTTTGCTAAGTTGGGGTTTG